TATATGTAGATATTTTCATTTATTTATTTATATTAATTAACGTAGTACAATCGTTACGACTGATTTTAGATTTTGTTTAAAAGACACGGATATTGTCAGTCAAAATTAATATTGATTTATGTTTTGGACAGAAACATAATTGCGTAAATCTACTTGTTTTAATTATCATTTATAAATTATAATGATTTACATGTAGAACGTAACAATCTATATGCGGATATTTTCATTTATTTATTTATATTAATATTTTGGGGGAAGCAAAGTATACACGTGCGACACCCGTCGTGAAAAACTTTCCAATGATGAAACGATTTTTAATAAAGAAAAAAAAGACGTAACGTCGAAACTCACGATTGATAACGAGACAAAAATGGCAAAAAGTTTCGACGAGTTTTAATTGAAACCAGAAATATGTAGATATCTATCGTTGCACGTTCCATCGAGCTCGTAAATCGCTATAAAATCATTACAGGGAACGCTTTCGTTCGGTGTATCCAGCGAAATTGACCGACTAATGGAAACAATAATATTTCCATCTAAAACGATTTGCAGCAAACTTGCCCAAAAATTCTACGCGTCCTGCTTGTATTTCTTCTGCAACAACGACGAAAGAAATCACAAAGTGGGAGGAGAAAGAAATCTGCGGATGGAAAGAAAAGATTTTTGAACGAGGAGAAATTTTCGCGAGCCTCTCTCCGTTTATTGGCAATACGCCAATTCGGTCATGCCCCCGACCGAGGCAAGAGATACGTATGTATAAGGTAGCGATCACCGAGAATCTTTCTCCGTTCCATTATATTGCCATATCGTCATCCTCGAACTTCCAAATCCAACGTAATTTGTAACTTAGACTTGGAAATTTTTCTGATAATTTCCCGTCAAACTCGAGCAACGCTAATTGCATGGCATCATACTGCCATATCGTCACTCTTGAATCCTGAAATCCAACGTGTCTGTAATTTAAACTCTGATAACTTTTCGTCAAATATAAACAACGCTAATCATCCTACGATATATCGTACGTCTGGAATTCTCCTCGTTTCATAATTATTGAAATAAGAGATCATTTTCATATTGGCTCGTTTAACGAGATTCCTTAATTTGGCCTATTCAAGATTCAACCCCCGTTAAATATTTCATCCTGAAATAACTCAAAAATCGAGAGAAACTATTCTGATAACTTTTCCTTTTGTCAGACTCGAGCGATACTAATCGTCCAACGGTGCATCGCGTATGTCTGGATTTCGTCTCGTTTCATAATTATTAAACTGAGAGATCATTTTCATATTGGCTCTTTTAACGAGATTCCTTGATTTGACCTATTCAAGATTCAACCCCTGTTAAATATTTAATCCTGAAATAACTCAAAAATCGAGAGAAACTATTCTGATAACTTTTCCTTTTGTCAGACTCGAGCAATACTAATCGTCCAACGGTGCATCGCGTATGTCTGGATTTCGTCTCGCTTTATAATTCTTAAGATGAGAGATCATTTTCATATTGGCTCGTTTAATGAGATTTCTTGGTTTAGCCTATTCAAGATTCGATCCCCGTTAAACATCTAATTCTGAGATAACTCAAACACGATACTGCTCCGTGTAAAATCCGAGAATCTGAGAGCTAAATTTGAGATCTGATGCTAACCTAATACAGGTTCGCGTAAATCGATCTTGAAGCGTATCCCAGCTACATCTGCATACAGAGAACCTAATTATTCTACGTATCCACCACCTGTCGATGGATATTAAACATCCAAGAAACGAATCGTTCGAGCAACGTGCCTGCGTACATTTCTCACTTTACTCCGTGAAATGTGTGAAACTTTCAACTTGGATAACTTCAACCCTGTCGAAAAAGAAACGGAACAAGTCGAATAAAAGAAACTTGAAATTATCGTTTGTTTCTTGTACTCGCTCCGTGTCTTCTCCCCTTAAGCTACTTTGTGAAAAACTTGGAAACGTAAAAAAGTGGCGCAGACTTCTATGGGAGAGACAAAACTTTGGGAGAAAGGGCGATTAAACTCGAGTCTCCTACTCGAACCAGAACCGTGGAAAATTAACCAGTAACATTGAGAAACGATGAAACTGTCGTATCATTTTTTAACACGTTGATCGTCGAGCGAAAATCGTGAAAGTTTCTTGCAGGGTCACGAATCCAGGCTTACTTCCCTTAGGTATCCTGTAGTTTATATGCTCCTATTTATTTATTTATTTATTTATTCCTCTTTTGTTTTTTATTTTTTTATTTTTTTATTTTTTTATTTTTTTTTTTTTTGTTAAATTTACGATGTGGACGATGTGCTCTTTGGTGTTAGCTTGTCAAATTAGGAATGTTTTTCACATTCTTTGCATCCCTCAAGTATAGACCATTTATAGAACTTACAACGAAGACCCTAAGTCTCAGTTAATTTCGTTTAAAATGTTCTCCAACGACATCACAAACGACTGTTACATTATTATTTTTATGCAAATAAAGTAATTATGACTTGTTCAAAATAATTTAACAATTTGAATGTATCGTTACAAATATTATTGTATATATATGAATATAGATAAAATACGTACTAAATAACGTACACAGACTATAACGTACATGTATATAGAATATACACAATATAATAATAATAAATATTATTATATATTTGTATATATGAATGTATTATTAATTCGTTTAACTGAAAAATAATTGACCAAAATTAATAATTTTTCAAAAACTCATTTTTCTACCAAACACTGTCCACACGCGTTTTCTTGCCTGAAAACTTTGAAATTTTCCAAGATCGTCGCCCACATGTGGGTGACACGGCCCCGATGGAAACTTGACTATCACCCAGATACGGTGACACGGCAATCAGCGTGTTAAAGCGAATGCAAGCGGAGCGTACGAGGTTTCCTTTGACTTAAAGAGTATCGCATGTATGTACATGCATATGTATGTGTATATTGCCTGCATCGCAGAGAGAAGTGGCGACGTTCCAACGAGAGTCGAATGGAAACGCTGCATCAAACGTGGATGCGAGTGGAAATTATGACGGTTAATTGGCCTGCGACGACGATACACGAAGAAAATCAAAATGGTTAATCAGAATCGGTCGCCGATTGTTTCCGGTATCGGGGAAATATCACTCGCGGTTCCATTCCGATGGATGATGGGTCGGTGCAATTCCAATTGGCCTGGTTAATAATTTCAGCTTAGCTCTCTCTCTCTCGCGCGCGCGCGCTTCTCTTCTGGCGTTTCATAGTTTCCATTAGCATAGTCGTAATTATCCTGTGTTCGCCGGCATCCTGTGTTCAGAGTCCGCCTATTAATAACGCTGCTTGCTTACGAGGATTCAAATCGGTAATCTTCGTCAAGGTGGTGCAAGATGTTCGGCAATTGTTTCGACTCGACTTTGAATTTTTTGGCTCAAGAAGTTTGATATTTCTCTGTGCCTTTGACAGTAAACTGATATAGTAAAGTATTACAAGCATCTAAGTATAAGTGTAGAAAGTATCCAAGTATAATAATACTATATTACTATATTGAATTTAATAGTAAACTTGATATTACTAGTAAACTTTATTGTTTCACTACATTACTTTTTTACTACAATACTTTATTATATTATTATATTAAATTTGATATTTTAGACTTTACTATTTTATTATATTACCTTGCTATAATATTTTATAGTATTTTATTACAATATTTTATTATATTACTATATTGATTGAATTTAATAGTGCTATTAAACTTTATAGCTTCACTACATTACTTTGCTATAATACTTTGTTACTAATATTACTATATTAAGTTTGATAGTAGACCGTTTTACTATTTTATTATATTACTCTGCTATAATACTTTATAGTATTTTATTGTACTACTTTATCATATTACTATATTAAATTTAATAGCAAACTTAATACTACTATTAAACTTTATTACTTTACTATATTACTGTATTAAGTTTGATAGTAGACTATTAAACTTTACTATTTTATTACATTACTCTGCTATAATACTTTATAGTATTTTATTGTAATACTTTACTATATTACTATATTAAATTTAATAGCAAACTTAATACTACTATTAAACTTTATTACTTTACTATTTTACTGTATTAAGTTTGATAGTAGACTATTAAACTTTACTATTTTATTACATTACTCTGCTATAATACTTTATAGTATTTTATTGTAATACTTTACTATATTACTATATTAAATTTAATAGCAAACTTAATACTACTATTAAACTTTATTACTTTACTATTTTACTGTATTAAGTTTGATAGTAGACTGTTAAGCTTTATTATTTTGTTATATTACTTTATTGTAATACTTGATATTTTATTAATAGTTTACTATGTTATTATATTGAGTTTAATAGCAAACCTAATACTGTCAAACTTAATATAGTAAGATAAGGTTTCAAGTTTCAAGTATTACAAACGAAACGGTTAAAAGTCCGTTTTTACTATGCGATACGGCATATCGTGTAAACTTTGAAAAAAATTCAATCTCCGAGTGGAACGATACGCCCTTACGTGCAATATTCAGCGATGTTGGTGCCGGTTATGAATTGCTAATGTCATCGCTGACGTATCCCGCAGGGAACCGCAGGACGTTCGCAAACGATGAGAAACCGGAACGTCACGATTTGCAAATCCATTGGAAGATTAGCATCCTCCTAGAATAGGAATATAGTCTGGACAGAGACTGATTCGTCTCGAAATCCTCGCATAATACGAAAGGTTTATATCATAGATAAAAATAGCCCCCTTCGGATCGAACGTTGATTTTTCGAAAATTTTCTTCCGCGCGAACGCATACGAGTGACATGTCATATACCGGCTGCCATAGTAATTTAGAGATAAACGCAGCGGCGAGTAAAATTGAACACACACGCGAATAATATTTTATTCAAGTGTAGAACAGAGAAAAAGCAAAAAATATGTAGCGTTTTGTAGGATGCTTTGACTTTCCCAGAAAAATTTTACCACCGTCTTTCACCAAGCTGTTTTCGTCAAGTCAATTTTGCGTCGCAATTAATTGAAACGACAAATTATCGATAATTTAAATTGTCAAAACAACAATCTCATTGCAAATGTGTAAAACTTCTACTTTGACTGCTCTGGAGTCGTTTCTTTTTTCCCTGGAATATTTTAACATCACGTGCCAGATGAAAAAATGCTCTTTTCTGTAAAAAAAGAAATTGTAAAAATTCGCAAGTATGTAGAAACATTGGAAAGTTTTCTGCAACGAGCCCTTAAAACTTGCTGTACGATTTCTTTTAGTCATTTCGAACTCGAACATTAAAAACCGTTAAAAAATTCAAAAATTCATTATCCGAGTTTGATATTCAAAATTCAATGAAATGACCATGAAAAAAAAGATCATAGGCATCAAGTTCAAGAGATTGCTGGAAGAAGAAAAATTTCGATTTTCATAACCGCGGTGGATGAAGTCGTTCGAACAATTTTCCAATGTTTTTCCAAGATATTTTTCACAATCGTGAAGAACGAAGGTCTCAGTTTTCCACTCGCTGCACGATGTAAAAACGTCTTTGAAAAGAAAGAAACGTCCGGTTGGTCAAAGTAGAAGCTTTTACGCTCTGAAACGGGACCAAGTAGATTGTTGTACGACTTTCTTTTGCCAAGTCGTAACAGTTTGAAGTGTCGACAACATTTTGTCATTATATGTTCAGTTACTCAGCTGTTTTAGGTAAGTACTCGCTTACGCTCGCAGTTTTTACGGGAATTTCGTCGAAAGAAAGTCGGTGCTACGTTTTTTGGTACGTGTTACGATATTTCACGTTCCGAATTTGTTAGAAACGTAGAAACTATTGTGTTACACGTGCTGAATAGAACGAAACGAAGGTGGGCGAGAGATGCGAGAGGCGAGGGCGACTCTACACTCTACTCTCTGATTCACGTGTGGGAATATTTGTTAAATCGCGGAAAGAATATCGGTGAAAATATATCGGCAATCTCGAGTGCCCTCCGAGGACGACCGTAATCCGTTCCACTTATTTTCGTGCTCGTCCTCGAGCAGGCTTTTGATTAAGAGCACTTGACTGCCGGTATATCGCAGCCAGCTGCTGTTAACATCGAGATTCCGAAGTATGTAAGTATGTATCCCGACGGAAGTTCGTAACGAGAAAACTTGCCGATCAGATCGCGCCGCGTCGAGCCCGGTCCTTCGTCCTCTGATCGACGTTTTGCCACCTGTGCCTTCACAGGATGGAAAGAAGCGTTCGTCATTCGCGTGATAGCTGCTTGAATTTCGTCTGCCTCGCTTCTTAATTTCGCAGCAGTCGGCAACTCTTCTCTTCTCTCGTAAAAAACAAGTGAAAGAGGAAGAGAAATTTGGAAGAAGACACGGATAGGAGGACGACTAGAAATAGACGTAGACGGGAGAAGGAACAACCATGAGCGAGAGAGAGAGAGAGAGAGAGAGAGAGAGCCAAGTCTGACGATTGAAATGCTTTTCTTTTGCTTTTCAGGGACCAGCCTTTTCGCGGTGGCCGCGCATGAATTTGGCCACTCTCTTGGCTTGGCACACAGCTCGGTTTCTGGAGCGCTCATGTATCCCTGGTATCAGGGATTGAGCTCTAATTACGAGTTGCCGGATGACGACAGGCTCGGAATTCAACAAATGTACGGTGAGTGAATCTGCATATTCGATCATTTCGTTGGAAAGTAATAATTACGTACCTATGTGGCGTACACCACTGCCTACTAATATTAAGACGACGCGAATCATGAGTGTTTTTTTTTTTTTATAGATTTAACAAGACTTTTCGTATATAAAATTTTGTATAATTTATTCTTTTTAGCTCGTCTTTTTAACTCGAGTAGCTTAAGTCCTCGCCGTTTAAGTTCGGGACACCTTGTACGTATAGGAGAATATTCAAAGCCGATTTATTCGAAAACAAAGCGGAAAAATTTAAGTTTGGGTTCACGCAGGGACACTCTATATACTCCTTATAACGAAACCTGTCACTTTCGATCACTTATTATATGCTTGTACATTATTGTACTTGCATGTACTTGTATCCAATTTTCTTCGTCCTCTCATCAAAGTATCGCACGATCGTTGTTAATGCAATTATGATCGCTGCGATCATTCGATCTTTGTTTCACTGTTCTTTCAGTCTTCAAATTGTTGTTAATTATTAGATGACCATCTAATGATCTAATAGACGACACACAGGCGAGATTAGATCCCGATAGTGAAATTAATTCCCGCATTTTCTACACGGTGGAACATTTCGCGTCAACCTACCTGCATCGACGACGACGATGACGACAATCGGTTGTCAATAGCACGTTACCTACACTCGCGTTCACAAACGATTTTCCATGGTAATAGCGAATCATCGTCACATCGTTCATTATCGTTACGAGTGAGGTTGATGCGAAATTGATTTTGAAGGACCAGCGTAGACGCGTTGATAAACACTTCGAAGAAGAACTGTTCTTGTTTCCTTTTTCCTTTCGATGGGCTTAATCGAATAAAAGTCGAAACTCGAACGAAAAGCCAGGTATACTCGTCGTCGGATGATCGCGTTGTTACCGCAGAGCAGAGGCAAAGCGCTGAAAAGGTAGAAAACTGACGAGTTGACGACAATAGGATTGTTCCTTCCCCCGAAAAAAAATCAGTTTTTACTCGCCAAAAAAAAAAAACAGCGAAAGGAGCGAGAGCACGAGGAGATAATTGAAGTTTGAAATATACATGGGCGAGCGACGAAATTCAGGATAAATCGAGGAAACAATATCGCGAGATAATCGCGACGACGACGACGACGACGACGACGACCAGGCGTAGAAAAATGTCGCCGCAGTTGGTAACAACAGGGTGAAATGAAACGTGAATAAAATATAAAGGACGACCGGGCTTCCCTTTGCCTCCGCCGGTGCGCAGACCGTACGTTCGGGTGATTTAGCGTACGAGAAAGGTTTCCAACCTCCCGGACTTCGGATCGCAAATGCATTCCACCTGCCCCTTACACCTCGTTCCCACTCTTTCTTCTCTTTTCTTCTCTTCTCTTCTCTTTTCTTTCTTTTCTTTCATCGTCTCTGTCGTCTTTAAACGCATTTGTCCGTTTCTACCTCTCGTAGAAACACACACAGGCCAATTTCTCCTTTCTACCCATTATCCTAACGGCCCTCGATTTCATTCATTCGTCCTCTTTTTTTCTTTTTTTCCAATCCACCATCTTTCCCACCATCCCTATGTGTTCTCTGTTTTCCTTCTCCACCTTCCTTTCTCTCTTTTTCAACTTTGGAGCACGAGGTGCTCTCGTCAATTTTTTTTTTTCCTTGCAAATTGTTTGTGCGTTTTTGCACCCTGCCTCCTTCGTCCGCTCTTTTTTCTCTTTCACGTCGTTCTACGTCGTCTTGTTTCTCTCTTGGTCACTTCCTTTCTTTTTTATTTCTCTTGTCTCTCCCTCGGGCCTGTCCCTTTTCCTCGCTCATTCTCGCCGTTTCACATTTTTCCTAAGGTTAGGCGTTTACCTCGTTTTCACCGGCAATGATTTATGCCCGTTACGCAATTACGTAGAAAAGGATATTTTAGCGAGAGAGCGTGTCTGTTCGCCGTACGAGTCTGGTTTTACGCGTTGCAACGCAGAAAATCGGGAAAAATAAAGGTTCCTTTATTCACGAATGAACGAAAGCAACGTGCTCGCTCGTAGACTCGAGAAATATGTATAGGACGGACCAAAAATTTCTTCCCAATTATTTATTTTTCTTTTTTTTTTTTTTTTTTAATGAAACATCAAAATATGAATGAATCTTTATTTCAATCTTTTGGTCTAGAAATGGACCTTACATTATTCCTTACGTTTTGTTTTCCCTTTTAATTCTCTTAGTTGTCAAGTGTTCTCTTATTTCTTTTCCCTTACATACTACAGTATTGCATGCCAGACTTTAACCTAACCTTATACTATAAAATAGAAAATGATATATGCACAATGCCTTAACACCTAATATATTTCTCTTTGGTTCTGTATTTTCTTTACTCTAATTGTGTCTCTATATTTGGTTTTCAAACATCGAAATATGAGAAACAGCTAATTTTATTAATTTTAAATTAAATTTGATCTCGAACGTGATCTTTTCATTACGTTTTAAAAATTATTTCTGTCAAATCGTATTTGACAAAAAATAAAAAATCTGTGGATTTATTTTAGTAGGAAGTGACTTTTGGCCCACATCACGTGTATATATGTATATATTTGAATTATAATTTTAACAAATATCTCGAAATTCAGAAAACGTGTGCGCGTTTGCTACTACAGCGCGTGAACGAGTTTATTTAACTTTGTCGCGTAGCTTTGCAGCGAGTAACACGACAATAATTTCGTTTAAGCCGAGCGATCATTTTACGTGGAAAGACGTGTTTCTCATCCAACGAACCCGTCACTCGTTCTCTTCTACTTTCTCGTAGTATACTGTGGTTTAAGCTTTCTCACAAAAAGGATTTTTCCACCGACGATATACCACAGGTGTGTGTGTATATATATATATATATATCATCAAGTTCAAATATTTCAAAATACTGTAGATTATGTTTTCAACACGTTGCAATTGCATTTTTGTTCGTACACGTCACGCACTATACTTAATTCTTTGTTTAATGCTTTAACGCTTTAGTAGACTTGGATATCTTGCTAAGTAATCAGAGTAAATTTTCACATTCTAAAATGAACGACAGAAATTTTTTAATGAATAAATAAATTAATAAAAAGCAAGGATAAAGTTCTTTTTAGAATTTCTCTGAAATGGACTCTCTTTGTAGAGATGAAAAAGAACATTGAATATTCAACCTGTCGCCGTTCAAGAAATACACATAAATATATCTGTATAAAAGCACTGTATTTGTTTCAAAAGTGTAAAAAATTGAACGATACTTTATACCAACAAATAATCTGTCAAGTGTCAGTAGGCAGTGGATGCAGAAAGTATTTGTACGCTTGACGAAAGATTCTCGACACCTACAACTCTTGCAACTTCACAAGAAAAGATCGGAGTAGATTAATAAATTTTAAGGGAATTTTGTAATGTTGATCTTCGAGACCTATATGATGCATACAGGTATGAAAAAGATTTTTTTTCAGTGTGCAGAATTTCACTTGCCCTCTTCAAATCAACTTTGGAAAAAACGAACTCACGACCAGTACTTTGAAGGTTAAGATTTCACGTTTAAAAACGTGATTGATAGTTTTTGTATCCACTGTATATTAACGCTTCACATTTTACGGGGATTTTTTGAAAAGTTTTCAAAGTATATTATATCATCAGTTTTTCTATTTTCCTTTTCTGCGGTTAATCGATTTGGTAAACGAGTGTCTCAAATACTGAATGTCAAAACCAAAAAGTAAGATTTTTGTAAGCGAGATACGAAGAAAAAAGAAGAGGAAAAAATAACGCATATTTCGAGGCTCTTCCTCTCTGTTCAATTTGCTTTCTCTCTTAATTACCTCGACCTGCCGCCAACTCTTTCTTTTCTAAACGATCCGACTTTCTTTCTCCTCCCTTTTCCCTCTCCTTCTTCTTCTACCGTTGAAGAAGCTTCAACTGTTGTTTAATCGAAAGTTCCATTCGAGTTTTACGATTGCAACACTGTCGTTTCTTTTCTCGTTCCACGTTTCTTCTCCGTCGACGTGGTTCCCCTTGGAGTTCCTCCTTTCTTCACCGCGCCGGTAACAACACGGGTTTCGGTGTGTTTTTACGAGTAATCGAGACGTACAAACTACAAACTATTCGCATCGAACAACCTAGTAACGCGGGAATAGATGTCGTTTGTGAATCGCATGAGATTTCGTGCAATTTGTTTTTGTTTAATTAGAATTCGTAGAGAGTTGAAAGATTCGTTTATTCGTTAAAATTCGCGGAGAATTAAAAGATACGACTTCCCAATAAAATAAATAAATATCTAATAAATTGAATAAAAATACGATAAAAATTTATTTATAGACACACATATGTATGTATATATGTATATAATTATGTATAAAATTCGCGGAGCATCAAAAGATACGACTTTCCAAATAAATAAATATCTAATAAATTGAATAAAATACGATAAAAATTTATTTATATACACACATATGTATGTACATATTATTGAAGGTTAAACGCGATAGTCCAAATTATTATTATTTAGATTATTTCTCCAATTAAAATCATATATACATATATATTCAAAATAAATAAATATATATATATATTAAAACCAACTAAAATTATGTGTGTGTGTGTATGTGTGTACATATTAAAACCAATTATACAGTTAATTAGAGAAATAACATATACATAGTAATTTGAACTATCGCGATTAACTTTCGATAGTAATTGTGGTTCGAAAATTATCCGGCGAATTTCAAATCCACGGTAATAGTTTGCAATTTGATCTGAATTTTTGTAGATTATTGTATAATATACGTATAATATATGTACGTAATATTAATACTAGTAGAATCTCTCGCTCCACAGAGACACGAAACATATTTCGGTAATAAAGATAAAGATATTTCTCAGCCTGGTTAAATGGCTGAAAAAAAGAAAGAAAAATGGCGCCAGACTGAACCACCAAAGTACCGAGATCCGTGCATTTCTCGAATAACAGTTGCTCAAAATACATTCATTACGTACTCGCTGCTGCTTTCTATTTAACCATTCCTCATTCTTGCAAGAAAAACGCCAATCCTTTCTCGGGGCCATCAGCGTAATGCATCCCATTGATCTCAATTCGTTGATTGCTATGTCCACGCGAGCATTTAAAACATCGACCGTGTGGCTGGCTCATTCGCAATCAGTTGCCTGCGATTTTTCTCGGCGATGATCGCGATTATTCGTTAGCGAATTCTAGCTCCAACATCGTGCAAAGTGAAATTTATATTTTGTACGTAAAATCTCTGCCATTCGCGTAAGAATTAATTATCGTTGCGTCTTTTAAATCAGTCCACAGTGGAAAAAGTAACAATTTCATCTTATATCCTTTGCGATTGAAGAAACAAAATTTAAGTGATCCACAATGTAGTAAATGAAATTTCTATTTAAGAAATTCCTTTTAGAGGAGTGACCAAGAAAAAAGTCCTCGATTAAGGACATAAATAACTCACGAACACCTAAACAAGAAGAATCTGAACCTAATCTAATCTAACACCTGACAGAACCTAAACTTTCCCTTCTGTAACACATGTCAAAAATCTGTCACGGCTCAACACATTCTACATGAATGCACAAACTTTGAGTGACAGAGAAGATTCCATAGGATTAACCCCACTGCTGCTTTATCTGAAGAGAACGCTCCGATACTTGATGGACATGAGTCTACAAAATACATATAAGTGCCATATAAATACCTATGGCTTCCAAAAGGCTAAACTTATCAAGAACTAAATTTAACAGCAAATTAAATTTATCTTGCCTCTAAAGGTCGACATAATAATTGTTAACCTCTTGCGCTGGAATGACGCGCTGCTATGCACGTCGAGAATTTTTTGTCCCAAAATTGCAATATTTTCTCAGTTTTTATTACTAATTTTTATTACTTCTCAATCATTTCTATCCAGTGATATCGTACCGACAAGTTCAAAAAGAAAGCGACGAATTATTGTATACAGTTCGGTCACTCGTTATGGTCCGCAATCATTTGCCAGCGCAAGTGGTTAAGGATACCTACAAGTAACGTTGTTTTCTGACACTGTAGAAAATTTTATTTTATTTAAAAGTCAATACAGCTTTAATCTGTAATATAATTTAACAATAAACACACTAAACGTCAATGTATTTAACTAGAATATAAGTTATATTAGGCATAACATAGATTATATTACAACATGTTATATATTATATATTATAGCATAATAAGTAAAATTATATATTTAAGTAAAACAAAATAGGCAAAACAAATAATAAATTTATTACTTGTCAATCATTTCTACCAGTGATACCATACCGACGACTTCAAAAAGAAAATGACAAATTATTGTATACGATTCGGTCACTCGTTATGGTCCGCAATCAGATGCTAGCGCAAGTAGTTAAACCAGATATCCCGATCTGCTGCTGCGTCTGCACTTTCCTTAAAGTTACCTCAATGCATAAAGTTTATATTCTTATTTCCTAGCTGGTCCTACAGGTATAGTTATAATGAACCTCAAACGAGGTTTCCAAAGCTTGAATGAAAAAAAAAAAAGAAATAAAAAAAAATATATAAGTACCTAGCAGCTGATGACCTCGATGTCGATGCGACTTTAAACCTGCACAAAAAAAAAAAGTTTAGGTGAGCATTCGGCAAGTATTGTATGTATTTTGGCAAATATGTTAAGACGTACAAAGCTGGTATGAAATTGAGAGGTAAGCCAAACGAGAGATCGAACTTTCTTGGAAACGAAATCCTTTCGGTTACACGAAGAGAGAAAAATCAACATGCATAACACATTGCAGCATGCAAAGTATATATCATGCGCAACCCCGTGCTATCTGCATTATTGCATTATTCAGGAACGGCGTGTGTCCCAGAATCGAATGATAATTAATATTCGCGAGGAAGCTACCAATTAGCGTACGGTAGTGGTAAAGATAGATAGATAGATAGATAGAGAAACAGAGAGAGAGAGAGAGAGAGAGAGAGAGAGAGAGGGAGAGAAATAAACAAACAGAGAACGAAAACGTTGTCTGAATAACGTTCTACCGAAAACCATCATCCCGTTGATTTCTAAAGACACTTCGTCTTCAATCTCACGTTCAAGACGTTTCTCAAAATGAGAAATCTACACTAGAACTACCAAAATAGTCGAAATGATCAATAACTTTGGAAACTTTATAATTTATAACAGTATACTTTTAGATACTCGAGTGATTTTTAACAAAGTATATATTGCACTTTAATTTCTTTGCTACGAATATTATACTTTAGTCGTCGGTAATTCTAGTGTTAACATTCATTAATCCTAATTCGAAGTGGGAACAAAATCCTCAAAATGCTTGTTTTACATCGTAAAGAATTAACTAGGTGACAAATGAGTGTATTTGGAACAATGCAGCGAATCGGAACGTTTTGCGCGAATTCGCGCAAAATTTATGCATAATTAAATGAACGTCTGCGGAGATAGCGCGATCTTATTTCTTATCTGGTCTCGTCGAACGTAGAGTGGGATTATGTTCGATATTAAGGGTGCTTAACTAGATGTTTCTCAAACATTTCGTGGAAAGTATGATAAATCGAGTGGATCGCGAAATGTCGCGAATGAATAAATTTTTCTTCTCTCATTCCGCTCGTATTTTCGTATTGGAAATAAATTCAAGGCACGGAATAATACATATTTAAATTTCCACCTAAGTTTCCCAAGAAGATGGCGGCTTATCTACTTGCCGGTTTCCTTTACCTATGTACATAGATACATCAATCTAATGGCAGATCAATCTAATGGAACGATTCGTATATTCAAATCGCGCAGCTGTTCATCAGATATTTAGCTGCTGGATACACTATATATTATTTTACACAATTACTGTAGAATTGTATATTAATTCCCACTCCTTTTTTTTTTTTTTTAATTTTAACGATCGTTGAATCCCACACTGACTGATTTACTTCTTTATTTCCGACGTCAATGGAGAAACTTGAAAAAAGATCAAAACCGAAATTAATGGGTAAAGTCTATCACTATCTGTGGTGATAATTGTTTTAACGAGAATCTCGTGACGATGTTACAGGTGCACCCGAAGAGAAACTGTGGGCCGAATTACCAGGTGGCCCGGCACCACCGGAACGACCTACAACGCCCCGGACAACGACGACAAGCGTTGGCACGACCTACAGGCCGTGGAGAACACGGCCAACCAAGCCAAATCGCTTCCCTCAAAAGCCGGAAAGGCCAGAAGATAGACCTCAGAGGCCTCACAAACCTCACAAACATCACACCACTTCCACTACTACTACCACCACCACCACCACCACTACTACTACCACTACGACAACGACCACCGCTACTACCACCTCCGTCACCACCACGACCACCTCTGTCAGAACACCGTACACGCAGAGGCCGAGGTACCGGGGGACATCGCCGCCTCCCAAAAACGACAAACCGGACAAATGCGATACCAGCTACGACGCCATCAGCATCATTCGCAGGGAGATTTTCGTCTTCAAAGGACGAGTGAGTTGCCTGATCCAAATTCCAGATTTTTTTTTTTCAAGCACTCGATGAGTATTACATTTGAAGAATTATACCTGAGAGATCAAACATGGTGGATACGCGTGCGAAATTAAATGTAAACGTTTTCGCTTTTTTTTTTCTTTTTTTCTCGAATGGAAAAGACGTTGAAATAAGTAAACACCATTGTCAAAGAGATAACGGATAATCTAAAGGATAATGGATAATGTTTGAAAAGACAATGGATGAAAAATATAAATACGAATGATGCATTTCTGTCTCTTGCAGTATCTGTGGAGAATCGGCGACCAAGGATTGTATCAAGGATATCCGGCGGAGATCACACGTCTGTTCAATCTGCCTGAGAGCATTGATCACGTGGACGCAGTTTACGAGAGGCCGAATAAGAAGATCGTGTTCTTCATTGGCAAAAAGTACTACGTTTTCAACGCCAACAATCTCGAGCCAGGTTATCCAAAACCATTGACCAAACTCGGATTGCCCGAGTCGTTGGAGAAGATCGACGGAGCGATGATCTGGGGACACAATGGGAAAACTTACTTTTTTAGCGGATCAAAGTATTGGAGGTAACCAACAAGAACCGTTTTATCTATGATTCATATTAAAGTTCAAATGAGATTGAAATGTAACATGCACATAGATTCCGATCAAATTATTAAACGCGTCACGATATGTTTTGTTAATGATTTGCAATACTTACGCAGCTTCGACGAGTCTGTAAACTACATAGAACTCGACTATCCAAGAAACATAAGCATGTTCGCTGGTATCGGAACCGACATCGACGCTGTTTTTCAATGGAAAAACGGTCAGTATCGATAAATGGTAATATATCGTATATACGAATAATCCTTGTACGATTAAAAATTGATGAAACATTTTTTTCTTTTTCTTTTTTTTTTTAGGAAAAACATATTTCTTCAAGGGGAAAGGCTTTTGGGAGTTCGACGACCAAAGGATGAGGGTTGCGCACGAAAAGCAAAAGCTGTCAGCTCCAGTTTGGATGGGCTGCCCTCCAGAACTGGAAACGAACGACGTCGAAAATTATCCAAGGAAGAAAATAATGCCTTCGAGCAGCGCATCGACAAGATCGAGCCTTTTCCTTGGGATATTCTTTATAGCATACTTTAATAAATACTTGTAAACTGTGATATTTACGTAGAATAACGTAATTAAGTGTATAAATACGCCGTGCGTGCACGCGCGTGCGGCCCAATCTACACGCGACCAAATTTTAAAACGCGCACACACGCGCACACACACGTACACTTCCTTTATACCGAGAATATATAAAATAATTTTAATAAAGTCATTTTTAAATAATTTTCGGCGAAAAGGTTTTGATAATAAACGATGACGTATCCTGATTTGCAAGGTATCTCTTTATCTTTCCAAAACGTTATTCTTTTTGTCCAAACAATGTACAAGCAATTTAAATTGGATTGTAATCGAGTGTATACAGGCTGTTTCTAAAAAAGAAAGAAAAGAAAGTAGAGAAAGAAAGGTGATATAGTTATCTGATTTAACTTATATATTTAACAAAAACATGTACATGTTTATTTACCGAATCAACGTCGAACGATATGTTAACAGAATGTCTTTACAGTTTTTTTTTTTTTTTACATTTTACTTTGGCGAATGGACAAACAGGTTCCGCTTCGGTCACTTTTCTCAAAGCAATTGTTTTAGAAGTTTCATTTGAGCAACGAAATATCGCGACTACAGTGCATTCGGGAAAGCGTAATCTTACAGGTTAAAACTTGTCGTTGAACTCGAATTTCACTATGAGCATAAATTGCTTGAATCCCACCATAGTGCGCGATTATTTTTCCACTTTTAATTAATCTTTCTTTTTTTTCTCACGTGATATTTCACGTTTTTTTATACGAATAACAATAAAGTTTCGTTGAACGTTTTGCTTCTGCTTCCTGATGCTAAAGGCGAAAATCCGGAGGCGAATACGGGTCCCAAGGGTTAAGCAATCTCAATGCAGTATGAACAATAGTATCTACTTCTGCCATTCCACCTATGCCTACGTCGCCGCACATGAGAGTTTTGGAAATGCATGCAACTTCCTTGTATCCCCAAGATTTCAACAAAGCTACCTAAAAAAAAAAGCATAAGAATAATCAATATTAATTATACAATACTACAGATTTATGTTTGATAAGCTCCATCAGAATCTAGTATTGTTTTCTCAAGCGAGTTCTTAAATACTCGTGTATGTCTAAAACAAATAACAAATCAAATTTAAATGAATTTAATCAAATTTAAAGCTGAAACAAGTTTTTGCTCTTTGTTTAATCCGATCAAAAAAACTGTAAAGTTTTAATCATGTTTGATGCTAGCTAATATACAAGATTTAAATGTTAGATACCTGTGGCGCAGTAACAGGATGTTCCCACATTTTTGTGTTCATGGCAGGGCAGAAGACCAGAGGCTTCATTGGGTCCCAAGCACGTGCGACGCAAGTTAGGATGTTGTCGCATATACCACTGGCCATTTTACCGAGGGTATTAGCATCTAACGGAGCAATTAGAAATAAATCGGCCCATTTCACCAAATCAATGTGTAACACAGGGTCACCCCTGTCTTGCCAAGCTGCCCATTCTACCGTGTCTGACAGCACTTGAATCCCTGGAGGTAGTTCTGCCTCTTTCAAGAAATGCTTGGCCTTCTCAGTGACCACCACTCTCACCTCCAAATTGTTCTGCCATAACTTCTCTACTAACTGTGGCAATTTAATCGTCGCAACACTACCAGTACAACCAATTAAAATCTTCTTCCTAGAAGTGCTTGACATTTTCATATATTTACTCATATGTTTTCTCTTCTTTCTCTAGTATTCTTTCTCTATTTATATAATTTCGTTCTACGGACGATGTGCTACAAAAGCTTAAACCTTACAACACGTTCAAAGATACATTCTTACATTGTAGGCCATCCGATGCAAAATAGTCTAGATTACATCGATCAACGAGAAACTACGATTAATGAGAACCGATACTTTTACGAGATTGATTTACGAGAAGATGGATATTTTTTGTCTTCCTAAATTTTTTTATATTAAATGCATCATTGTTTTTGAACAACTTTGCTTTAAGTATTTAACAATTCGTTATCAAGTCCCTTCACTGCACTGAAATCGCTTTACTTACTTGACCGACTTAAAATTACATTGAAAACAAAATTCTCTGTCGATAGCGTCGAATCGTCGAGTTATCGTCGTTCGCGAGTCATTTTGAGTTGACGTATGCATAGAATAGGTACATTATCAATAATATATTCGTAATGTATATACACAAGTTTATACGCTGCTACAAATTTGTAAATATAATACACTCATAAAATTCGTGGGAGTGAAACGAGAATGTGACCAGCGAGAAAGTCCGTAAATACCGATCAAGTGTTACAGATAAGAGGCGGCGATCTAGAACGCGGCGGCAATCGATTAGTAATAAATCGCTGCTGTTATGTCTCCTTGACCTCGTCGGAGAAACCAAGATTGGACCAGTCTTCTCGTGCCATAAGCTCGTTATCCATTCGGCAGGCAAGGTAATCCTTTATGATGTCTCGACACATTGTGTTCTCGTTCTTATTGTCGAGCAGGCAGCGCATATATTTGATCATGAGCTTCTTGCAGATACCCTCATGGTCCAGTGGAAAACTACCTTTATCCGGTGGTATGGGCGTAACTACTTTCTGTGAGAATGTGTACGAGCTCATCACTACTGTGTATTCACGTTCATACAGGTCAGCTCACTGATTCGACAGATAAGAGTTTTCACTTTTATGAATCTCCTTTAAACAGGCACATTATGAAACAAACGATGAACCAAAACCACCATTGTGCAAGCATTCGATGTAACAGCGCCCCTTATGCTCGTAGCTCTAACTATGTTTCACGCAGACTCTCTGTATTATGTAATGTTTTCGACGAGGTAAAAACTAAATGGAAATAGACCCATCGCTCGATACGTCTTTGTTGCTTTAATTCATTAATTAATTGTTTAATTATTTAATATCATTATTAGTTATTTAGCATTTAACATCATTATTTAGTTGTTTAATATCATTATCGGTCATTATTTAATTATTTAGTATCATTGGTTATTTAGACAGATATGGCCCCTAATTCCGAAAGCGTAATTGTAAAAATTCAGAAATTAATCCTCTTAATTAATCTTTTCTACAAATGAAAATTTAATCGATTCACGAACATCGAAGTGCTAGCGTCACGTAGCGGCGAAACGAGGGAACTAATGGCTGTCTTTGTCCTTGTCGAAATATTCTTATTTTTCTTGCTCTCACGTGGATATATCGGTCCCGCATTATATCGCACTCCTTATATCTTCTTTTGCTATCGACGTCGCTGCTGTGCCGGTCATTTGAAAAGTGCGCATGTGGCTAAACAGGTTTACTTTATTAAATAAATATATTAACAAGAAACTATAACAATAATTATTTATTAATATTAATGTTTAACAAGATTTTACAACAACCGTTTGCTTTGATTGATTATTAACAACTGGGAATACAAAATATTTTCTGCTCTCTTATTTTCTTCACTCTTCATTTTAAATCAGCGTCGCCGCTGTTAAACTCGAAGTTTCAAATACTCACGCCACACAAACAGAGGAGCCACTGCCATCTATCGAGTTCATCTAGAACTAACATGACAAGCAATATGCTGCCATCTGTCGGAGTTTTCATTTTTCTTTAGTTTCAGTCGGAGTCACCATCCTTATACCAGTGTGCGACAAGGATATGAATAGATTTTAGTTCCACAATTTCACCGTTACGCGAAGCTAGCATTTCATTGCCTGTAACGTGACTAAATTTTCATTTGTGAGAAAAAAGAAACGAAGGATTAATTTACAAACTTTTACAATTAAAATAAATTCTTATTTTTAGATTTTGAACTTTCTTTGTATTATAATATTTCATTTGACGTTAAAAGTGACTGAACAATGAATATCTGGAACAAAGCGGAACAGATTCCTCCAGATGATGTTTAATTTCCCGCAACATAACCTACATTCGAAGCAAAGATAGTGGTGATTAATTGCATTTTGCATTTTCTTACCTTTATTAGTGATTAAAAAATGGAGGAAAGCAGTTCGATAAAAGAGCAGGATCAAGAAAATCCAAAGGAAACGTCATGGAAAGAATTGGTAAGTTTAAAAATATCTATGAAACAAGCCTAACCTTGTCAAAATAAAAAAAAAATTGTGTTTTTCTCAATATACATATACGTTGTTTAATGTAATAATTTAATCAATTGTTTAAGTTTTTTTGAATGGCTGTAACAAATAAATCAATCTTATGTATATAAATAAGATATACTTGCAATTATAACAATATCGACAATATCTCAAAATTAATATGTAATGCACGTTTATGTTTGCACACTATATTTGCCTTTATCTTCTTTTTATATCTTATTTATATCTTATTGTTTCGGTAATGGACACGAGATAATATTAATTGTTAATATCTCTAGGGTATCATAGATACATTGTGCAAAGCATGCGAAGATCTAAAGTGGAAATCACCTACAAAAATACAATGTGAAGCTATTCCATTAGCGCTTGAAGGTAAATTAAGAAGACATAAATATATGCATATATGAAAAGAAAAAAAAAATTAGACATTGAAGTAATTTTTATAAAATTGAATTTAAAATGTATTAGGTAAAGACATAATTGGATTAGCAGAAACTGGATCTGGTAAAACTGCCGCATTTGCCCTTCCTATTCTACAGGCACTCTTAGAAAATCCACAGAGATATTTTGCATTAATTTTAACACCTACCAGAGAGCTGGCCTTTCAAATATCAGAGCAATTCGAAGCTTTAGGTAATGAGTATACCATTTTGTAGTAATTTCAAACAATGTACTCTCACGATTATTACATATAATGTTATTGCACTATAGGATCAAGTATTGGAGTGAAATGTGCAGTAATAGTAGGTGGAATGGACATGATGTCGCAAGCTTTGTTATTGGCAAAGAAGCCACATATTTTAATTGCCACTCCAGGTAGATTAGTTGACCACTTAGAAAACACCAAAGGATTTAATTTGCGTTCTTTAAAATTTTTGGTAAGTAATAGCAACTTCTAAGATATGTGTGATAAGAAATCGATTCATCTGTCGTTTTAATTTCAAAAGGTCATGGACGAGGCTGATAGAATTTTAAATATGGATTTTGAAGTCGAGGTAGATAAAATTTTAAGGGTAATTCCTCGAGAAAGGAGAACGTTGTTGTTCTCCGCGACAATGACCAAGAAAGTTCAGAAATTACAACGAGCATCTTTGCAGAATCCTGTTAAAGTGGAAGTTTCAACAAAGTATCAAACTGTTGAAAAATTGCAACAATATTATATTTTTATACCTGTCAGATTCAAGGTGCAAAATTCGTTAATTTTTTTTAATTTTTGTATAAATTTTGTCCTTAATATCCTTTCTATAGTAAAATTTTATGTTTATTGCAGGATGTTTATCTAGTACATATTTTAAATGAATTAGCTGGTAACAGTTTTATGATATTTTGTGCAACTTGTAACAATACAGTTAGGACTGCCCTTCTTTTACGAAATTTGGGCTTCACTGCAGTTCCTTTACATGGACAAATGTCACAGAATAAGAGAATAGCCGCTCTTACCAAATTCAAAGCAAAAAATCGATCTATACTTATTTCCACAGATGTTGCCAGCAGGTAAAAACATGGCATTTAATTTATTTAGTTTGCCCTTTTCGATTTCATTTTTTTCACTTTTCTCGAGCCACTTTTCTTTTCTTCTAGGGGTCTTGATATACCTCATGTAGATATTGTAATAAATTTCGATATACCTACGCATAGTAAAGATTATATACATAGAGTTGGACGTACTGCACGTGCTGGTCGTTCTGGTCGTTCCATTACATTTGTAACACAGTATGATGTAGAATTGTATCAAAGGATAGAACAATTGATATCGAAACAATTACCCTTATATCCGACGGAAGAAGAAGAAGTAATGGTGCTTCAAGAAAGAGTAGCTGAAGCACAACGTATTGTAAAAATGGTAGTATCGATTATTTACTATTTGATTATTACAGCAATATTAGTAATAATAATAACAATTATAAACGTTATTGTGTTTTAGGAAATGAAAGACATAGAGGATAGTAAAAAATTAGGTAAACGAAAAAGACATCAAGACGACAATGAAGATGATGATACGGAACAATTTATAGGAGTTAGAAAAAGGATAAAAGGCAAAGAAAGGGTAAGGGAAAAGGGTAAAAGTAAAGGAAAGGGTAGAAAGGGTTAAACAGTTTTACTACCTTATCAAATACATTTACTTTTTCTTAATAAATAATAGAAATGCAAGATAGTATTTCTTTTTATTGGCATTCTTATTTGTTTGTTTTTATAAATCAAACCACCATTCCCTTCATATGTATTCCATGTGTCTATTCCAAACTCACAGTTTGTATTAAGATTCTTAAGTAACTGTCACTTTACAAAACCACATTTATTCCCTTTTGCGACATTCAAGTATCTATCTTCATTAAAACGGTGAGAATGAATTCCTTTGATGATTACTGTTGTTTTAATTTATCACTATATAACTAATGAACTTGATCGAGCAGTTATGAATTATTGCATTCAGAAGTTGTAAAACAAGAGAAATTCTTCGACATTTTGTCACTATTTACGATACCATTACTTTATCATAATAATTTCTTTGTATTGAGCAAATATGCTTATCTGAATGAGAATATAAATTACATTATTCAAAATCACAATATTTTAATGTTATTTTAAATTTTCAGCATTATTTATTAATATTAATAAAAAGACAATTAGAAAAAATTTGCAACTTGTATCGATCAAATCAATTTTCTACTTGTATATTTTCTGAATTGCAAATTAGAATTCTGTTCTTAAAAAGAATGCAAGACAAGGATTTAAAATATTTAATGTATTAAAAAGATAAAACTTTGTAACAAATGCTATACTGCACTCAGTTGTAAAATTCGTTAGATTTTTCTTTCAAATCTCTATAGAAAATCATAAATTATATTGTATACATTTTCATAGTACAAAATAGTTCAGGAACAATAATGTTCCATTTTACTTTTACAATTATAATGCAACATTTAAAAGCTAAGGTATGGTTCAACTGTATGAAGTGGCAACAAATCCTTATTTATCTTTTGCATATAATAGTGTATCTTTTTCTATACATTAGGGACTGTAAAACGATTTTCATCAAAGGTGCATCAAAGAATAATGCGATGCTGCAGAAAGAGAAAAATGCTTGGTGTGTAACTTGTATCTACTTAGTTTTCACTGTAAAGTATGCTAATTAAAATGCTGTAATGTAAACTGTAATTCCTATTGACCTAACTTCCATTAATATATGTTAACAAGCATGACACCTTCGATATACATTAAAATATTGAACACCATTGAAGGGTCATTGATACTGGATGGTGTATAAGTATGTTGCAAATATTTATAAGAATAAATCTGAAATACATTACAATTTATAAATCAGCATTTACTACAACATCTTTTGTTTTCCCAGAAAGAAAAAAAGGAGAGTACGATTATTCGATAACAGTACTCGAATACTGTCTTTGATGTAAATTAAACACAAAAAGAAAAAAGAAAACTATGAGCAGATACTATGTATCGTGAAAATATAGTGGTCGTCGCAATTTCCATTCATAACAAGAATATCTACTTAGAACATATCTATCCTTTGTTCAATAAGTTCGTCCTAACGCTAGATCAGGTGAGAAATTTCAATTTTTTATTTTTTATTACTAACGAACGTAATATGTCTAATCTCGTTGTCGAAGGCTTTTGTAATGACAAATAACACGTATGCATAAGATTACTTCAATCTCTGAAGCAAAAGCTCTTTTCTTTTGTCTGAAGTTATTTATTACAAATACCGATACTGTTTTGCATTGTTTAACAAACGTTAAAGATTAAAGATATAAATACATATATATTCTCGGTAGTTTGACATGTATATATGTATATATCAAACTACTGAGAATCTTATTTTCATTTCTTTTCTTTTTCTATCAGAGGTGCCTCATCATAACCAGTATCGACAATTTATAATAAATAAGGTCGTACAGTACTCCTCATTCGCTCTCGTTCTTTCTCTCCCCATGTTTTATTAGTTTGTAAATACATATGCACAATAATTACCACGTATCGTCATTCGAGCACAACACATTGAACGTAATAGTTGCTAGAAAACTAATTAAACCAAAATTTCTTAAATCGATAGGATTATGCATTGGCGAAATAATTAATAACAAACTAAACTATTTTGAATATACATAACGAGACCATTTTGACTTCGACGACGAGTTCAAGATCTGTATATAAATTGTTAGAACGTATCTATAAGTAACCTGGTCGAGGGCAGAAATCTAATGGATGGAATGTTCTGAATGCAAGGTGTCAGAGATGTGTCAGATGTCAAAAATTGAAACAACTTAAGTTTCATTTAAATGAGAAATAAAATATATTCCATAATATTATTATTCACTATTTCTACACATTCTGTACAGTAATTCACTTTAAGGGTTTTATATCTCAATATACTTTATACAAAAAGGCTACTTATAATCTAACATTAAGACATACCATAGCATGAGCGCCCTCCACCTTGCCGCTAAACGGCAGATGGGCCGCACGCATGTTTGTACTGGTATTACAGAGTCAGTCGCCAGCGAGTATAACTTCTTCCTCTTGTATCACACACCACACACTAAAATATTAAAAGTGTGTTTCTGGTGCTTCTCATTCATTACATCTTATAGTTACATTGTCCCCGATTAACTTACTCCATTTGCTTTATTAGTTGCGTTTTTGTTTCTTTCAATTGCGTTTTTGCGTTTTCTCGAGGAAAAGGAATATCGCAATGTCAAAATATAATGAAATATCTTCATTGCCTGCCGTGTCTCGTTTTTGTTTGTTTCATTTACTTTTTTCTGAAATACTCTTTACCAATAAATAAAATTATATTTTGTGAAAATATAGAATTGCAAAAAATAAAATCTGTTCCCCCGTTTTTTGATAATGTCGGTACAGAAATAGTGCATTCGGAGACTCCACAAGCAACAGGACTGTTAATTCAGATCTCTGTCCTCTAAGTACTTGTACTCAAATGTAAAACCTTCCTTTTTTCTTTGTCCCCACTTTTCATAATCAAAATAAATGTAAGTTCCCTGGAACAATTATACTTTATATGCTACTGGTTCGCTTAATACACTATTATCTATATACAAGTCGTATCATTGACGTGTTATTAATGATTTTATATTATTAACCTGTTCGTATTCTTCGTTAATCACTTTTGGTTCTTCGTGCCTCTGAAACCACATCATATATTTCGTATGAAACCTCCAACTTTGTTTCTTTAAAGCTTTTGCAGCCAGGTACTGGCCTTTAGAGCCTTCCATGTAGTAAAATATGAAGAATAATGTTTCCGTGGAAAGACGTTGGAAGAACTCCACAGTATCAGAGTGGGGAAGTTGAACCTAATACGTTAAGTACGCATGAATCAAAAGTTGAGAGGAGAAACTAAAAATTACATTACTATATATATATATATATATATATGTGTGTATTCAAGAGTTCAAGATAGCCAGAGTTGATATGTGAATTCATCAGCACATTACTTGGTACATATCTATTAGCGCATGTCAACTTTGCCTGAGTTTAAATAATGATAGAATGAATGATGTAATGATACCTGTTGATAATAAGGAGGTGTTGGACATAAATTTCTTGGTAAATATGATCGTAAACGTTCAGAATCAGACGGATGAGGCATATGGTAATAAGCGGCCTCCATCATCTGGAACTGCAGCTGATGTTCTTTCTGAAGAGGTACTGGTCCGAGAGGTGCAACGCCAAGTAGAGGAGGAATGTGTGCTTCCGAGGTGGCATTGCTGTTATTATTGTTCGCCTTAGCGCTGTCAAAGATGTTTCTGTTCGACTCGGACGGTGGTATTTCCAGACCTGCTCGGACAATTACTTGTTGGGCTATAGATTTCAAAGAGGACATGCCATCAGGAAGCTTAGGGATGAGACCATTGGCAGTGGATGGCGCTGGCGAGCAGGAATTTGCGGGCAGAGGCGAAGATCTACTGCTAACTGACGATTGTGGCGAAGAAGATGGTGGGATCGGCGTTGTCATTTCAGTTTCACTATTGTGATTCTGATTTTGTTGATTGTGCAACACATGTGTCGTCTGTATGGGCGCTGGATTGTTGTGCTGCTGCGAGATCGTTTGTGGCACATTCGAGGTAACACTAGACGCGGACGATGATGACAATAAACCATTTTCATTGGTATGAGCTGAAAATTTCAAAAGCAAATCACAACATGTTATCGTTGACGATCCTACAACGATACATTTCTTTTTCACGAGATACTTACAAGATGTTTTACTAGAGGTAGAATGGATGGCTTGTGAATTAGTATGCGAAGCAGCTACCGTAGCAAAATTGCCAGCATTAGTTGTAGCAATGTGATTACTTGTAGAACTAGGCGAGCTATGGCTAGGCGTCATGGGAATGGTCTTGCTTGGAGTGCTGCTTGATAATAAATTCGATTTTATGGTGGCAGTGCTTCCCGTGGTTGGAATGCTCGCCTGTGAATTTAATAATGGTCTGACTGCTGTTGGTTTCACAGGCTGAAATTTAAATACACAGTAAATATCATGTTCGTTGTATCATAATCATCGATACTCGTATACGTAATATATGTAATAAATCATTGATGTTGATCAGTATTTGATTTTACCTATATAAAATTACGTACCTTCGTTTTTTTGTCATTATCTGTAGAACTATCACTTGAATGATTGTGCATAGTGGAACTCAATGGAGGTGACGGTATAGGTGAAGTACCAGAATTAGTTGAGGTTGGTGTACCTCCAGTCTCATTACTATTATTACTATCTGTAGTTGCTGACGAGGGAATACCAACTCCAGACAACTCAACTTCATCAAGACCAATAATATCATCATAAATATATTCATTTTCCTCAAAATCAGGTTCTTGCGAGGATTCGATATAATACTCTACATCATCTTTTATCCTTTTAATCTGTAAACCAAATTAAAAAATTAAATAAATGTGGTTAAATTTTGGCTAATAACTCTATATATATATATATATATATATATTAATAAACTTACAGTATTAACTTCAACAGACATATTGTCCAACATGCGTAACAATGTTTCCAATTTACGGATATGGTAACGATGTTTATCGAGTTTTGCTTTCAACTCATCCATCCTATCCTGCTTATCTTTATCTAACCTTTTTTTCTTTCCAGCAAGTAACGATTCTATCTCAGACTCAAATGTATCCAGCTACATTGAAATCATCAATGCGTTTTTAGAAAATATTCTCCACTGTTGTTTAAGCATCATTGTATTTTGTTTCATACCTGAAGATTTAAAGCATCTATAGAATTTGCAAGCCAATTGCTAACTTCTTCTCGTTCTTTTTGAGCTGGATCAAGTTTTTGAGCGGCTCCCAATCCTTCTTTCGAATAAGCTTTCGTTTTTGTCTCCCTCTCCACAACTTTAAATCTTTCCATTTGCTAAAGAATATATGCATTGTACGCAATTTTAATTCCTCGCAGTTTCAATACGCAGTGTCAAAATATACTTACAGTTTCGATTAACTTTCTATATTCGAGAAGTGTACTCTTATCCTTAATTTCACCTGATGCAAGCCAGGTTTTAATCTGATCACGTAACCTCTGGAGTTTTTTGATTTCTTTCTTGAGATCTGCTTCATATTTTTCCTTCTGATTGCTATTTGTAGCATTATGAACTTTCTGCCAAATATCCTCAAATGTCTCTACACCCTCTGTTACTTTTTTAAGGCACCGATCTATCTCACCTGAAACATAACAAAGAATATTATCAATTTTGAGTGAGAACATTAATTGAATTTTTTAAATTTCATAGAAAAAGACTGTTCAATTGAAAATTATTATTGGATTTATTTACATGTAAAAAATAGCATAACAATCAATTTCTCATATCCTATACCGATTATCAGTTGTTTGCAAGTCAGTGTGTGCAAAACTAGTAATAAATCATAAAAATAGTTTACCAAGTGATACATGACAGAGAGCTTGTATCGGCACAAGCTTTGTGTTATATCTTGTACTATTGTGTGTAATGTGTCATGGGAATAAAATGCAGAACTATTTTAAAGGTTATGCTGACATAAAGAGGTAGTATGAGGCCACTATAAATACAGTACACGCAAGAAAAAATAACTTGCATTAACGAAACGTATGAAAAGTTGAGGCAGAACACAGCGGTTCATCATACTCTGGCAACCTGTACCAACTGTCAGATACAGAAGGCTTTTACACAAGAGTAGATAACGCGAGTTAAAAATAGGCTTGCCACCGATCGTAAAATACAAACGTTCAAACTGGCAGGGGACTGCAGAACGCGAGGCAAGAACGAAATCCGAGTTCGGGTATCAGCGGAGAGCCATAACAAAATTCGTAAATGTAAACATGCTGGAAACATTTTCTTCTCACCTTGCAACTTTCTCGTCGCAGCCATGGCTATGTAAACATGTGATACAATAATTCATGCATAGTCTGGACGTAATGGAAAATATACGGAACAATTTTACGGAACAAATAGTCGTTGAACTATTATTCCCTGTATAATATGGGAGGCTCGGCCACAAGATGGCTTCCGTTTTCAAATGACAACGTCCGACCGTCCGTGAACGAGGTGCGTTGCTGCTAGTTCCCTTTTTTGCGTCAATCTTTTTAATCTTGATAGTGTAGAATATGCGCTACGTCTCGTCGGAAATCGACAGCACATAAAAATACACAAAAAGTGATAGCATCAACAAATGATATATATGAAATACTGAATAAATGAGATGGTGTACTATGCATTGGCGCATTCACACATTCTACCTAACGCACATACTTAACGTATTCGTGTTCATAAACCAATTGAAATTTGGTTGAACCTTTGGACGCGTTCGCAACGATTGTGATGGAAATACTCTTTTACGTGTTACTCTGTTTATACAAATACAGATAGCCTCGACCGCTCGTACTATGAAAAATCTTAGATGTTCAGCGATACATACATTGATAAATTATTCAAATGGAACAATAACAAATGAAATTTATTCTATTCGATTTTAGATGTTGCGCATATACAACGCTCTTCACGTTGCATCACATCGAAAGTTTGTTTCGAAGAAACTTTTTCGCAAAATATTGAAATAAAATTAATAATATTTATGGGTGATTACGATATCCATTTGAAATAAAATACAACTACGACAATAATTATTATATATTTATTATATATTTTAAATATAGTTTATATCTTTTTTTAATAGCTTAATTAAAAATGGACATAGCATATGCTTAGTTTTTACTTGAGAGAAATTATAGAACGGAATGTTGTTATATTATTAACGAAAATCTTGGTATTGTTGATTTTAACGCATAAGAAATAAATAAAATATGTAAGGGAAATTAATCATCATAGATTTATTACATTTACAATTTATTTCAAAAATTCATTTGTTCACATTGTACATGAAAGTGAATTTGTATCGGTAAATTTTGTTTACAATACGACAATACATTCGACGTACGTATACGCATGTCACTGAATTAATTAAAAATCTATGATCCTTTCATCAATAATTTCTACGCACCATGCGTTGCCTTGGTCAAACGTAAGGTACAAGCAGAACGTTCTGATGAAAATCATTAATAAAAATGTTGATATGAACATTAATGTACTAAATACAGCTTACTTTGTCGGGGGCATTTGACGAAAGACTGAAACACAAAAGACACTTAGACTTTAGCTCGTAAAGAGACAAATCAAAAAATATTAAGGTTCAGATGGCTGGCAAAGGTTAAGAGTCGAAAGTGGGGATATTAAAGACACGACGGTTGGGCGTATATGAACATGTCGACGAGAAATGCCGTTGTTTGGTGTTCCAAATTTTCGCACGACAGTCGCGGTTCAGACAGTAACGCACTCGCGCTCAGATCGTACCACGTTCGTCAAGAAAGCTTCCTATATTGATTATTTCAGAACCGAATCGCAACGAGCTGCTTTTCCTTCGACGCTCTCGGCCTAACCTCTTTCATCGGAGATTACAGTGGAACATGACAAAAGGTGGCATCACTGAGGACGTGTTGGAAGCACGGATGGAGCTGTGCTCATTGATATGACGCCATTTTACTAACCTTTTCGGCGCGGATCGCGACGATCCACTTAAGGTGCTCCACTTTGTATCACCTGAAAAGCGATAAAATTTTACCGCTCAGATTTTGCGAATCGTGCAGGCTCTTCCGAAATTCGAGGCGATTCGTTCAAGCCGTAGTTCCCCGGAAGGTACGCATTTCTTGTTTGCGCTCTCTGCTATCGTTCCTGTGTGCAACAAAAGCTCACCAGCAACACTTTTTTACTGAAACTTGTTACCACGATATCCCGGTTTCATGTGTTTTCCCGTTCGTCGCACTCTGACACCCGTTTCGCTACGATAGACTGTTTTTGTGGAAACTTTGCGACTCGGGGCATTGTGAAGTGAAATGTCCATTGTGAAAAGCTTCTTGCATGTCACACTGTGTGCCCAGTTTTACAATACCTTTGTTAGTGCTATTGCAGTTCGCTGCTCGTTACTTCATCCAGTGTAGTTTAAAGCCAAGGTTTCATCTTCTGTGATTTTTTTTCTTTTTTTGTCAACATGGTGTTTGACAATTGACCTGTGGATTGTGTTTGTCTTTCACAGAGGCAATTAAAATATTTATTTCTTTAGCTTGTCTGACAGATGAAACCCTGCATGAAAAGTGATTTTAAATATTTAATTTCATAGGTATTCCTTATGTTGCAATTATATTCTCGAAAAGAGTAAAAGATCTTTTGATAAGTTCAATGTAACAGGTGGCTATGTAAATATACCAGTCATAACATTGGTTACAACGACAATGATGATTAATTTTGGCGTAAGAATGTGTTTTAAGATGTTTCTGATTTCTATTTAATAAATGTATAAGATTCAAACATTTGAGACAATAAATTTGCTAATGTTATAGTTGTTTAACCAATGTTTGTGATGACTTTTATATGTGTACGTGATCTATTAACTTGCTTTGTGAAGAGATACATTTTCAAGTATCTTCATGTTAAAATATATTCTGTATGTTGTAGGTAACACCATTGTAGTCAAGTAGTGCTATTATGGAAGATGAGGATGGTGAAAGTAAAATCATGGATATGTGGAGCATTTTGGGAAAACAACAACTTAAAGATACTTCCATTGGAAATTCATTAAAGTCGTCGATTGACAATATATACACCGATGTCATAGAAGAAGAGAAACAATTATTGCAGTATAATTCTATTACAACCAAAGATTCACCAAGCAAGAATAACACTGCAGGATCAAAAATTGTATTTAAAGGGTTTAAGAAACGTATTTTGGCACAAGCTCAAGAGACACAAACAAATACGTTAAAAAATATAGTGCAGGAACAACAGTCGCAACATTCTAATCCATTGTCCAGAAGCAGCAAGGAGAAAAGAGCGGAAATTAAACGGGGCAAAATAACGGAATATGCACAATATTTGGGTCTTCAGCCTTCGTCAAAAAATAGATGTTTAAAGTGTCAGTCATCGTCAAATTTGTGCTCTACGTTAAAACAAAGTTCATGTACTTGTAATTCCACAATGACGCCAATGCCCAGTACGTCAGAATCGTCTATAGTGCCGCATTCACCTAATTTCAAAATCACGAGGAAAGTTTATCTTTGCGCGGCATGTGGCACGTATTTTGAAAATTGGAACTTGTTTTTACACATGAGGGATATACATAAACGTCATATATGTTTATTTTGTCTTGGGATGTTTGGTCAAGCCGAGAGGCTGTCGCATCATTTAATAAAAAAGCATAGCGTTCCAGAAATGGCGTTTACGTCTGTTGATGATTTTTATGGTGCTTTCAAAGGGTCGTGTTATTTAGTTTGTTGTACATGCGAGAAAGTTTTTTCAGAAACGGATAACTTTTATAATCACTTTTGTTCGCCAACGTCTAAGCAAGATGTTACTGCTTCCATATGCACGTTATGTAGACAAACAGGTTCACACGCAAGTACATGCAGCTTGGCTGTTGAAAGCAACAAAGAAGCAAATCCTGCTTTACCAGCTACTATGCAGACAGGGATAACATCAGCTAACGTGCTTGATAAAGGTGTAAATAGTGACAATAAGACTGTTCCAAGGAAATCAATGAAAAACAATAGGTCTAAATACATGGAGGACGGTACGACGAATCAACAAAAAGTAAATGTTCACACGAAAAAGATGAATAACAAAATTGCCGTATCTCAGTCAAACGAGAGCCAAGTATTTGACGAAACGTTAAACAGGGATGAAAATTCTCAAAACGTAGTAACGCACGATTTAGTTAAAGATACTGTTTCAGAGACAATAATGGAAGTCTCAAAGTATATCGAAGATTCTTCTCAAGGGAAGGAAGGATCAAATGAAAAAGAGATTTGTCAAAGTAATTCGAAGTTAAATTCAACCGACTCACCTAGCCATAATATGCCATACGATAGTGTAACAGAAACTATTATGGAAGTATCACGATGTACAAATAACGTAGAAGAGTTTGATGACAAAAGTAAGAGAGAGAATATAGATGTAGTTGATACGTTGAATACCTCTGACAACTCAGAAATAAATTCTAGCGAAATGCCTAAACTCGATGCGAAAGCTGTAAATAGCTCGATCGAAGAGACCAATATCAAGGCGGACAATGTTAATTCTGTAAATCAAGAAACAGAAGAAAATGTAATCAAAGAGAAACTAGAAGACATGTTAAAAATGGACGACTCTAATTCTCACGAGTCTGAGAGTCCCGCGCATAGTCCAGTTAGCCGATCGTTATTTAGCCCGCAACATGAATCGCACGTGTCCGATCTTCAGCCCAAAGAAAAAACTTGCGACAATGATAACAAAGAGAATTTTGACGTACCTAACGAATCTCAGTCTTCTGTGTCATTCAACGCTACTAGTGAAACAACTTCCGATAGGAGTTTAGTCATAAAGATATGTACCAATAGAAATTCTCAGTTTTCTGTCGCAACTCGTAGGGAAAGTGCAGAGGATAAGGACATTGATAAGAAGGAGGAAGAAAACAACAACGCGGAAAGTTCACTAACAGAGGAGAAAGAATCTGATATTTTTGAAGAAGAAAAGGACAATATCGCTAGTTATCAAGTGAACGACGAAGACAGCGATTCTGATAGTTTGAAATTAGCGGTAGTGGACAATGTCGCTGAAGAGACCGAGGATATCGAAGAGACTAGCGAGCACAGGGCGGTAACAGGAATCGAAATCGAGACGAATATAAGTATCGAGAGTAATGAGAATCAGGCTGAGATCATTGACGAGAAAACAACAGTCGATGTAGATACGAGTGGAAAAGAGGATGAGAAAACGAAAGAGGATGAGAGTGAAGAAAATCACGCGGAGGGTACAGTATCACAGTCCCAGATGCAGCCAAGCGATGGCATAATATTGGCTGGGGAGGATGTTCCTTGCATCGATCTTAACGTTGACGGCACTTTAGATAGCATAGAGATAGAAGATTTACTGAAACGTTGTATAGAAGCAGCCAGCCCTTTCTGCGTCTATTGTAATCACGCACGTCATATAGCAGCGAACGGAAAACAATTAGGATTGCATATGCTCGCAGAACACAAGTTTCAACCTCAGCATCCCGCCATAATTATCCAGCCGGAGCAGTTTATCGCCAGAGTGAAAAAGTCCCTCGACGAGTTAGACTCTTACTTCTTTAATTTAGATTCTTACAGTAGCACAAACGGTACATACAATATTCCAGGCGTGAGAACGTACGAATGCTTTCATTGTAGATTTCATTCTGCCATACACAAGGAACTTTATCTGCATAACCGGAAGATGCATCAAAAGACAATCTTAATTTGTATAATGTGTAAATCCACTTTCTATAGTTATAGCGAGTTACTTTGTCACTTGTGCCCTGGAATATACTCTCCAAATATCAACGTCAGGTACAGGTGTTGTCTTTGTCCAGTGGCAAATCTTCCATCCGCATTTCGATTGATGGTACACCTGCGCAAAAGGCATCACGCGTGCGACGTTTGCTTGGAGTCTACCGGGAATCAGCAGCGTCTTTCGAATCACGTTTGGAAGCACAAGCTCCATCACCTATGCTACAGATGCGGCATTGCATACAGAAACAAACCGGACATTACCAAACATTTATTTTGGAAGCATGGAACGGAGAGCGTACTGTGCAAAAAATGTCTACAGAAGAAATGGCCACATATCTATCACTTTTGCATACCACCAACAGCTTTCGTTTGCGAGGAGTGTGGCTCTAGTTTCTCGCGAGCAGTCGCTCTAAAAGTACACAAGAGGTTACATTCCGGAGATCATCCGTATTCTTGTAGCGAGTGCTCCGAGCGTTTCATTTCTCGAAAACTGTTGGCCAAGCACGAAGACGCTCATAAAGAACCGCCGGTGATCAGCGCAAACCTGCTGATGGACACGATGAGTCAGCAACCAATGATCAACGAGGAAAAATTGGACAAAGAAACGGTAAGCGTGATCGATGGCAATGTGGCTGTTGCCGAGTCGATGAAAGACGTCAAAGAGCCTGTGAAAAAAGTAGTCGATGTTTACGATCTGCCACCGTTGAACTTGTCCTCGGACAGTGACACAGACTCCGAAGAAAAGAAACCCGAGACCAAGGAACCGGAGAGCGTCGAATTGGTGAAATCAGCCGAAGAAAATGCAACGTCCTCCGTGGATCAAGCAAAGTCCGTTTCCTCCGAGCCTGTCGTAGACAACATAGTAGAGGTTGAACAGAATGAGGAAGAGAAGGAGCAGGGAGCGCAGATCATGGACGGTATCTGGGATAATTTCAAGAGCTACACGGCCAGCTTAGAGATGAAAGAGACAACCAGCAACTTTGCGATCAAAGAGTCGGAGCCAGAAACCGACGTGGCGTTCTTAAGGAGTATAGTACTGGCCGATCACGATTACTGCGTCGTATGGTCGGACAAAGAAACCGACAAAGACGCAGAGTCTTCGGCGTCGAAAGCGAAAGAAGACGCGGTAAACTCAAGCGGGGACCAAGATTATTTAAATAAGGTGGAGAAGAGCCCGTTGGACTCTGGCAACGATATACAAAATAGCAATGCGGACGACCCAAATGGGAAAAAAGCGAAAAGTCCGAAGAAAAAGAAACAAGGTGGTAGTACATCGTCGAGCGATTCGTCCAGCGACAGCGATTCGAGCAGTTGTTCCTGCGGGACGAACTGCAGCTGCAGCAGTTCGTCTTCCGGTAGCTCTTCTAGTTCCAGCAGTAGTTCCGACTCGGACAGTTCCACCTCGGAAGGTTCTCCGAAGAAACAGTCGAATCGGAAGGAACGGAAAAAGGAGAAAGAAAGCACGCAGGAGCCGGAGGCTCGGTACGCGAAATCGGAGAGCAAGGAGATCTCTCCGGAGATGAAGAACGGATCTGCAACGGTGCCGATAGAGCCAGTTTGCCCGCCGCAGCTCTCGCTGAAGGAGTCCGATCTGGAAACCGAGGAGACAGAAACGGACGAGGACTTTTACGACGAACATCCTCAACAGCTTGCGAACAAACTGCTCGCGGAGAAGCGAAATCAGCTGATGCTATTGGCCGCGGTCGCCCCTGCATCCACAGAGTCGGCGATCCCGTTGAACAACGGGTTAACGGACACGGACACGGCGGTTCCTTCTCCGGATCCAATTCCTGTTACCACAGAGGAAGATCAGTCGCAGCAGCAGCAGCAGCAGCAACCACAACAGCAACAGCTACAGCAGAAGAAAAAAGTGAAAACGAAGAAACGAAAGAAGGGAGAAAAAACGAAACAGCGTAACTCGACGCCAACGGTCGAGTCCATTAAACTAAACATTCCTAAAGCGTTTTACCAAAAGAATCCGGGTTATTCGGCGTCGTCGCCGGTGTTGATGCAATCGAACGTGTCGACAAACGATGTCCACGCGATGAACGCGACCGTTGAATCGCACGGGATGGGAGTAACTGGTCAAAGTATCGGTGGCAGTGGTTCCGAGGCGGAGAGCAAACGGTCGTCGAAACGGAAACGAGTACCGAAACGATTCTACGGTGACTCGAGCGACGACGAGGCGGAGAAACAGCCGACGGCGAAGTGGAGGAAGATTGAGACGGCGGCACCTTCTTTCGCGGCAGTGCCAACCGTCGTCAAATCATTACCACCGAGACTGCCTTTCGGCGGTAAGAGCATGGCTTACAGGTCGCTCGAGAGCCAATCGGAGAACCTAGCGATCGCTGCAGCGTCTGCGACCGAATCGGAGGAACCTGCGGAGAGCAGCAGTGATTCAAGCGACACCGAAGTAGAATCCAGCCAACAGATGCAGACACATCTGTCGGCTGGCAACCCGTCGGCCCCGGAACGGCCGGTTAACCTGTATTGTTATTGCCAGTGTCCGTACGACGAAGTGTCAGAGATGATAGCTTGCGACGCCGAGGATTGTCGCATCGAATGGTTTCATTTCGAGTGCGTCGGTATCATGGTACCGCCGAAAGGCAAGTGGTATTGTCCAGACTGTCGAAAGAAACACGGTATCGTGCAAAACAGCGAGGACTACTTTGACTGATAGCGTCGGATAGCGTCTTGAATGTGTGGTAAAATTTCGTCTCTAGGCACATTTGGCAATGGGTATTCAATTCTCTCTGTCTCTTCTTCTTCTTCTTCTTCTTCTCTTCCTTTCTTCTCCTTCTCTGTTTATTTGTCCATCTATCTATATCTTTTTCTTTCTCTTTTAAAGCTTTTTATGTAATTTAACGAGAATAATATGTTCGAAATGTAAAACGTTGCCCGTTTTTGTTGGCTCGTTTTATTTGTCAGTTTGATCCATTCTATAGAAGCTTGAGATATTATAAATTTTTAAACACTTTAAATGCTTTATGAACATAGATGCAGCATTGAAATATTAACTCTATGTTAAATGTCTTTTTATGCACGCAATGCGTAATATAGTTGTAGGTATTATCTTATTTTTTTCGTTGAAGATAATTAATGAATTTTCAATAATAATATTCATATTCAATACTAGTAATCATGTAAGATTCATCCGATTAATAGTGTTGAATTATATTGTTTAAACGTGAATTGACAGATAACGGTAAAAGAGAGACGCAGAGAGAATTGAATTGCCCATCTCTATTCCCAACATTTTCTTTCTTTCTTTCTCCTTCGTAAACAAACGAATCGATACACTGTTCCACGTTGATATTTTTCTTAAAAATACGATACGATAATGAAAAAGAAAAAAGAAGAAAAAAAAAAACAAAAAACGTTTGTATATAACTGTAAATACGCCTTAGAGTTTATAACAAGGAAGTAAGGTTTTTTGTGTACATTTGTTTGTACTTCTTTTAAATGACAAAAAGTGCGCGATGTATAAATTTAGTGTAGCCGAATAGGCAAGTAATAGCGTTCTAAAGCGAAATTCTAGGCTACGTCGTAGAGCGAAGAATTCTCAAAGCCTAGCGTGAGGGGAGGGCTGTGTTTTCATCAATTCAAAATTGCGATAATCACGGTTGATACGACTGTCGGCACTGCTGGCGGTGTCTGTGTCCCCATTAGATGATCGCATTTTTTTTTTCCGACCATCATTTTGTTTCTAATCTTCTCCGGAGATAAACTCGAATTATTCTCGCTTAAACCATCGCTATCGCCGTCGTCATCGTCATCGTCATCGTCATCGTCATCATCATCGTCATCGTCATTATTATTTTGTTCCTTTCTTCTATTTTTTTCTTCTGTTCCCTTTATTTTTCATTTTCTTGTGTTTCTCGTCGCTTGAATTTTTCAAATTTTCACAATTGTGCTACGCGTTCAGATTTTGTTTCTTTCTCCCTCGCTCATTTTCTCCCTATTTTTACTAATGTACCTACAGCGAAAATTGAAATTCCTTTGGTTGTATTTTTTTCTATCGTTCCGTTGCGCTTCATGTTTTAGAATAAATAAACGAATTAACTAGCGAATCTTTTATCGTTTTTCCAGTCTAGTTCTTAGTTGTTTCTTTTTTCGTGATAGCTCTTCTGCCAGCAAACATTTTCAAGGTGATTGTACAGCTGTAAGCACTTTGTTCAAATCAGTCCAGTAAAACGCCTGAAAATTTCTTTCCATCTATCCTTTCCTGTAATATCTTCTAGATCATCAAAATCCAGTGAAATGCAAGTGTGCGATGAAATGCGATTATACGTATTACACGTATGTATATCTGATCGAGAAAGAAAACAATTCCGTTTGTCAAGAAATATTAAGTTTACTATTTATATTATTAATAATATTATTATTAATAATTATATCGAAATTGTTTTATTACGTACGTGAAATCAGCCGTAATTTAACAAGAATATAAGAAGAAATAAATGATCATCGGTCACAGTTAAAGGAAGAACATCCGTTTTTACAGATTGAATTTATCTTTATCCTTCGGCCGATTTGATTGTTCAACAAAAATCTTATGGTCGAGTCTGTCAATCGCTGAAACGTTCATTTTTATTTTAACGCTTTAAAGGAAGAAACAACATATGCGTTAATGTACATGTTTAATAGAAACTCGCAGTACATTGTAATGGTAATAATATTAGTAATGGTAATAATAATCAACGTTAATGTGCCAGAAATACAAATAATGACAGGTTAATTAATTATCGTCAGCCCTCGTTTCCTCTGGCAATTCAATACCCATGATGTCCGCGACGAAATCTTTGTAAGATATCCTCTGTATTATAAAAATAATAATACATTACTTTCGGCGAGCCTAAGTGATGATTTTTATTTTTTTTTTCTCTTCATACCAATTTATTCGACATTTCCATAGCTATGTTTCACTATAATCTATACTCGATTTCGTTGATTACGCTAATCTTTAACAAGATTACTTGTTTCAAAGAATTTAGTTTCATTCGTTCAAAAAGCTATATGTCAAATAAACTTAAAATATTTCTCTAATTATCGAAAGTTGATTAAATTTTTAAATCGGAAGTTTAAACATAAAAGCAACAGAAATAACAACAAAGTTAGTTGTTAATAATTTATCATTTGTGTATCATAGATCGATACTTTTGCATTTTTTTCATTTTTAATTTAAAACATTGTTTTCTTACGAATCTGATCAGTATGAAGTATTTTGTGCAATTAATTTCTTTTGTCGAAAAATGTTTTATATGCATGTTGATCTATTTTTAATGCTCAATATAAGAAAAAATAAAATTCAATTTAATTCTTAACTGTACCTCTGGTAGGAAAGAGAAGTCAATGGGTTTCTTTTCATTACGTTCATTGTACGTTTCATTCTCGTCAAAACCAATGAGAAACTTCGTATATGTAAATGCCTCTTGGATCGTCAATGGTTCTCCTACAAAAAAAATTTATTCAATGCCGAAATAAAAATGCACTTCAATAGAATTGAAATACAAGCAACTTCTTAATGATAATGATTGGACATTTTCCAAGAGAAATGCATAAACCAACCAAAGGGTATAGCATTTTCCACTGAAAATTCATCAGGAACTTCTCCAAACAATATTCTCACAAATTGTTCCCGAGTTAATACTGGGTTCTCTTCTTGCAGAGGAGGGATTTGATTTGGATTTGCAAAGGTTTGAAAAGCTTCTTGTATTTGATGCAGAGAAATCCCGAAAGCTGGACGGTGGTTTATATAAAATTTGACGAAATCCTCGAATTTAATTTCTTCGATTATGTGGCCGGTCTCCGCGTAATCTCTGTACGAGATCTCACCCATAAGAATTTCTATCTAAAATATTAAATGACTTTATGTTAAGAAAGATGGATCAATTAATCTTCTGATAAAGTGTGGGTTGAAAAAGGGTTTCGATTTAAAAAAAAAATTATTACTTCCTCGTTGCTAGGATAATATCCAACGGCGCGCATGAGATTTGGTACTTCTTTGGTGCTCACTGTATCAGATATTACTCTGGGAGCTATTACGTTCTCACCTTGATGCAAGATTTGAGCATAATAAAACAGATCTTTTATTTCATTGATGAACCAGCCTTTTTCGCCACCATCTATCAAACAATAATATGGTGCAAGACCTTCGCCTCCTAACTGCGCTAATACATCGACAGACCTGATTGCGAGGCATAATAAAATATATACAACAGCAAATAATATAGCAAAAAAAAGTGATGAGAAAAAAGAAATATATTTACGAAATATTTTTACAACAGAAAAATTGGCCTATTATCGTACATATTACATCTATTATCGTACATCTATTATTCAAGCGATAAACAGATATGTCAAAGAAAGCAATATTGTTTTTCTTAATTAATTACCGCATAAAGGAGAATATTTAATTTCTGAGTATGGTGAGTATGTTGAGAAATACCTGCGTTTTATTTTCCACATCAATACGCAGAAATCGTTGTAACCAGAAGTGAATAAAATATTTCCATCATAGCTAAGGCAGATGTTGGTGATCTAGTAAAATAAAAATTCCATACAATGAAATATTTTAGACGTACGTGTACAGAGAGTTTTGTAATTCTGATATACGTGGTCATCCCGTGAACAAAATCAAATATATTTTTTATAATACTTGTTATAATTAGAAATTGAACACATACATATATTCTTAATGTATTTAAATGTGAGATACTCTGCATATACAAGTATGTACATACATACATGTGGATAATACATCAACTTCAGAAAAAATTAGCTCTTATTAATAGAAATTTTTCAGTTACTGATTTGATTAAAATTAGAATTTTTTTATTACAATATAACTGTAAGATGTTGTTTACCTTATATGGATGTCCTACCATTCCTAAAATCTTGTAAGGATTCCCATCAAAAGGAAGTATTTGAAGACCTATCTCCTTATTAGTTGCAAATACCATGTATTTACCAGTTTTATATTCTTTATCGGTTAATACCTGTAACGATGCTTTGAATTATACATAAAATAATGATTTTTTTATCAATGAAACTAAAATTTATATGACTCACTATGATCCAATTTGGTGACTGACTCTTACTTTGAAATATTTAACCGGTGCATCATAAAGCGGTCCCAAAAATGTTCCTCGGATTATTTTCGTTATATCGTTTAGCAATCTGTATTTGTACTAGATAATGAAGATGTTATATGTCTAATAGATACTGTATGAAATGTATATAATATATATAACAATTATCTAACTTAATTTAAAACTTTTACGTATGTAAAAGTATTATATGATGTATGTAGATCCCTCTTAAGAGTGATTTCCTAAGTAAATACTTAGTTGCTAAAATCACTCCCTTCTCTACCAAATATGAATACGACAGATATGAAATCTAACAAAGTTTGTCTTAATTTAAATTGTAGAATCGATTAAAAATATACAGATTACTACTTCGGAATTAGAATACATCAGAAATCCTTCGGCACCCAACTCGGGATACCAAGCAAGACAAAGAGGAATAGCTTCATTTTCAATTTGGTAAGTGTTAAGTATCTTCAAACCAGGAGAAGGGAATGGCCCACTGCAAAGTACAAAACATTTCTAGAATCCTCTTAATTACGTTATACATTATATATATATATATATATATATATATATATATATTTTTTTTTCTATATTATGTCCAATTTACCTATTCTTAAGATCGTATTCAATTAGATCCCGGTCGTCTCCTATTGAAAATAATCGATACACGACGCTTTCGGTAGTAGCTGGCCCGAAAAGTATATCTCTTATTGTTCCATTGTGAGAACGATATTTTCCAACAAAATCCCATAAATGAGAGCTTGAGGAATTGCGGTTCCTTTTAAATACTGCTACCACTGACGTGTCATCCTAAAAGAAAGTTATACGTACATATATATGTTTGGAAAAAAGGTTTTATTTTTCATCAAATTTTTTGACAACAGGTACAATGTGTTTTTAACACATTATACTAATATATTTGTGCCACATACATATTTATATAGAATAAAAAGACAAAGAAACTTTAGAAATTGGACATCTTCCAAAGGTAATAAATAGAAATATATACCTAACAGGTATAAATTTTCATTACAAATAATGTAGGTATTATATTTTGATATTTACTGCATAAGCCATGTATTCTTCGCACTCTGTGAAAGCGAACTGCAATATCGATTGTGTTGAATGTTTGTAAGGATTTTTATCAAGAGGTTCTAAAGTGATGGGATGCAACATCCAAACCGTTCCATTTTCAAGGCCACATGCTACTAAATCACCTACGTTAAAATGTTTTACATTGAAAACGGATTCCACCTCTATAAAGATATAAAGTGTATCGGTATGTAAAATATGTACCACTGACGAAAGATTTACCTATTGGTGAATATTTCAATGCCGTAACAGCGGTCAATTTCTCGTGTCTCTCTGGACATGTGATATAAATTATAGTTCCACTCTTCACTTGATCATCCAATAGCAGACGAAAATCTGGAAGAGGTGGAGTATTTCTGCGCACGACACACTTACGTTTCTCATAATCGTACAAAGAGACGAAACCTCGCACGTTACCGGTCACTATAAAATTGCTTGCGAATGAAAGAACGATGTTGCGAAAAATTATAATTTTATAAACTTATAAAAATGTACATATATAGATTATGTACATATAGATGTACATATAGATTATATCGCATAGTGCATGTACACGATGAAACGCTATTAGCGTAAATACCTTCGGGGATGTGCATCCAAACTGCTGACGATAAAGTTCGAATCTTGAAAGATAAATCGACATTTCAACGTGGGAATTTCTATTAACGCAACTGTTCCATTCGAACAACCTTCACGAAAAGTATTAAAAACACTATAGATTTGATTTCATCAATTATTGATTCGATAAAATTTAGTAAGTAAAATCTTTTTTGTCAAATTATCTAATGCTGTGCAAAAACCATGAATATTATTATACTAACCCTACAAACGCATGTATAATAGATAAATTAAATATGTAATGTACGAATGTAAAAATTATAATGATGTTGAATAAAAAATGTAGGTAATAGTATTTACTGATAATGAAATTTTCAGTATAAAAGGGAGCATTTTGAATAGTAGCATCGGTAGGCGCGGGAGGTAATTTTGTAAATGCTTGTTGATTTTTATTATCATTCCTAAACGTTTCTTCCAAATATACAGTCATTGTCGATGGAACTTGTTCACAATATTTCGTCGATTCTATCTTTTCGATATATCTAACTTTTTCCTTGCAAATATGATCTTTTAATTTAATTTCCAAGTCTTTTTCTATTTCTTCTTTATATTCGAAATCTTCTTCCTCTTCCTCTTCTTCGTCATCAACTGCAAAGTGAAACTTATTATTCTTTATTTCTCTCTACTTTTATTTTTTATCCCATTAATGCGCATTATCTACGTTACTATGATAAAAATCTGAACTAAGAAATAACCATGAGTTAATCGGATTTAAAAGTAGATAATTTAACAAGTTTACTCGACTATGATAGATAATTTAACAAGTTTACTCGACTATGACCAATTAAATACCTAAATACGACTAAAAAATGAATAATTTTGGAAATAGAGGTATTTTACATTAATAATAAATATGAAACTTACATTTAGATTCGCTGGGTGTAAACGCGGGAGCCAGTAACGCAGATGAAAGATCGAAACTTATCGATCGTATAGAATCCAAAAATTGGTGCCGACACCAATAAAGTATTTTTAGATTAAAATCATAAAAGTTAATGCGCCCGTCCGAGGATCCTGTTACTATCATCCTAAAATTTTGTACACGTTAGGAAAATTTCTTTATTATTACAATAATATAAGAATACTTGGGGAAAGTAAGAAAATTCTATTTACGATTGTAAAACTATGCTGTACGATAATTTTTAAAGTTTCATATTTTGTTGAACAGTACACAGATATACATACTCGTATATAAAATAGATATTTGTCAGAAATAATAAATTCTTAATCAGGAATGAAAATTATTTGTACGTTCTTAATATTGAAAAGTGTTGAATACCTATCGTGATGTAATATCACCGTAATATTGCTGTTCATCAACTGTACAGACTTGATGTACTCCCTATTGTTAATCGCGATTTGATTTTTACTTCTTTCAGCAGAAATGTCCCAAACTAAAACGTATCCTGTGCGTAAAAATTGAATAATTAAATTTTTATAATGCAGCCAAATTTAAGATGTATCCCAATAACTTTACAGCTATATAAACAATAAAAGAAATAAAAATACCGTTTGTTGTTGCTGTTAATACCCGCTGTGTTTTACTAATATAACAAGAGCAATTGAAGATTCCGTATCGTCGTACGTTGCCTAAGATTTGTGGTATGTAATATTTTAATTCCTCTTGTTCCTAATTCATAATAATTCAAAAAATTGTTAATGCATCTCGTTATTAAATTATATCGAATTATGTATTTCAATTTATCGAAGATTCTTTGTTATAAACATGAAAAGAATGTGTGTGCATAGAAAAAACATTGGTGTACTTTGATTTATATCATATGTTATATGATTTATTACTTAGATATATTATACTAACCCACTTAAAGAATGCAACACTGTAATCGGTAGTTAAACAGAATTCCTCTGAACAATCTTCATTGAAAATTATTTCCTTAACTTTATTTGAAACAAGCTCGATTAACTCTACAAAAGCTAAAAGTAAATGATTTTTAAAGCTAAAAGTAAATGATTTTTTCAGCCAACTTTAGATATTTATAATTTAGTTTAAACAAAAATGAATAATAAAAATGTTGACATTAATATTAAGTTAGTATAACACAATAGATAAATAGAGCCAATAAACGATACATATGTATATGTAATTAACCATTAGGTTGATCTTTCCCGTATGTCCACAACCAAAAATGAACCTTTTGATGAAATTCATCTCCAACAGTTACTATGTACTTAGCATTTGGACTAATCATAGCAGCAACTATTTCTTTGTCACCATGTGGATTAAACAAAGTACAGATTGGCGTACTGGAATACGAATAATGATAACAATAACAATGTTATATTGCATTTAATTTGCGTTTGTTACTAATATATTTAATATATTTTGTAACACATTAGTAATCTCGTCGAATTTTAAAGGAAGATATTCAAATTTCGCTGTGCCGAACTTTCCTAATTTTTATACAAAAATGTAATCATAATGTAATCATACCATAATCATGGCAAATTTACATAATCACTTTGAAATATTAAAGATCGGATTTTATAATCAATCAAAAATTCATAGAAACCAAATAAAAAATAGAGAGAGACGAAGTTGAGAAAAGTATCCCAAATTTCGTCTGTATTACTTATCACGGTTAATTAGATTAAAAATTGAAAAAAGCTTTTTTTGTTGTATTTCCAGAAATTACCCAGTTTCGGTATCCCAAACAACAACTACACAATCATCTTCAAAATCTGCAGACAATAACCATTTTCCGTCTCTTGATGTAGATAAAGTTTTCACCGTATTCTTCTGCAAATATTCACTGTATTTTGTATTTCGAAAATTAGCTTGTAAACGAAGAATAAAATACAAATATAATAGATGAAGAACAATATATACATGGCCTTGAAGATTTATTGCTTCTTTAGTTTCATAGTTGTAGATTATTACAATATGTGAACAAGCATAAGCGATGATCGTTCGATTTTTCGTAGTTAAATTTATTAGAGGTGTAACTGAATTTATTCCGAAGGACCATAACAATTTCTGTATTTAGAGAAATGGTAGGTTCAGATTCAATTTTTCGTAATATGTATATTTTTACATATATACATATAATTAAAAATTTTTTGAATCATTTGAAATATATTGAATATATATCATATATTAAAAAGTCTTTCAAAAAGTTTTAAAACATTTATATTCAATATATGCATAAACTATTAATTAGAACTTACAACCAATAACATAATTGTGTATATATATATGTATACTAGTTTAACATTTCTAAAAATAACTTAACGATATATATATAAATGACTGCATCGCTTACGAAAGGACAGAGATTAAAATCAGTTTCTTCCTTTTTGTTAAACGTTTTCATCTTCGTCTCTTGTGCATTCTCAGAATCTGTAGATTTCTTTGACAGCGATGATGTCAAAACATTCGTAGCCATTGTAATTGATTCGTTCTTTAAAAGTTTTCAATTTATGATCTGAAATTAGCAAATAATAGTATTTTGCATGTATATAGTGTAAATGTATAGTTATATTTGCATGTATATAGTGTAAATATTATAGTTATTATTAGACAATATTTATTATTACGGATATAACTTTGAACTTCTAATACAAATATAAATCTCTGCTGCATTATTAATCTGATAAATAAGTAAGCTTTAAAAAGAAATTCACGTGTAACAACAAACATTAAGTAATAAGATCACGAATGTGAGAAAAAAAAGCATCATATATTATACTTTAAATAAAACTTCAATACGTGGCAGTACACCTCATCTTCTATCTTTATGTATTATTGCGTGCAATTGCATCACAAATACCTGAGAGAAAAAAAATGATCATAATTTCAAATGAAGTTGAAGCGGTTTTGAAATATTCAAGACATAATTTTAAACAATCTCGTAATTCGTATAGCATGGTGATGAATCGATAAAATAAAAAAACAATAAAACTTATTAAAATTGTCATTTTTTTACTTGTTAATTAAATTAAAACAACATATGTATATTTTCATTATTTTTATTTCATCGACTTTAAGTCGAATATGTATACAGAGGAATATACTAATATCTGAAAATATTATATTTATAAAAATTACTATAAGTATAACAATATAAGTTATTTCCTTGATTTAACAGGTTGCATTAATTCCTAGTGCTTCAAAAGAAGCAAATTTTTCATATGGTACAATGGTTTATAATTTCACGTTATAAATGTAATATTTTAAGAATTCTTTCCTACTTGTGTTGGTAAAAAATATATCCTGATTCCGCTCAGAAAATTAATTCCAGAGCCAATAATCAATGCAATAACCATAAAAAAACGTTTATCGTTTACCATACTTCGAAATCATACTTCCACAAATATTAGCAACGTAACAAAACTAATATTACGTATATTTTAACTGCAGCAGCTTTGTGGCTTAGGATCGAGTCCAGAACGTTTAGTTACGGATATACGTGTAAACTCTTCTGCTACTGTTGGATGAATTCCAACTGTATCCTTTAGTTTTGGGAATGTTAAGTTACATCTGGAAAAATAATCAAATAACGAATATTTGAAATTAAAAGCAATGATAAAATAATGTATCATTGATATAACGAATAACTAAATAAATACTTACTTAATAGCAGCGGCAAAACCTTGAATCACTTCACCAGCATTAGGACCAATGAAATGCATACCAAGCACTCTTTGATCGCCGTTTCTAAATGCAACTACTTTTATATAGCAATTAGAAACATCTTTTTGTGGGATGAAGAATTCCGTTGGTTTATAATACGCATGATAAATTTCTATTTTGTCTTCTCCATGAATAGCAATCGCAGCTTCTTCGCTGAGACCAACACAACCATATTCTAGAGGACTAAATACTGTTGTCGCAACGTTTATGTAGTCCATTTGTTCCGTCGAGTTTCCGAACAATCTTCTCGCTAATAATCGACCCGCATGTATGGCAACAGGGGTTAGTTCTGGTTTTTTCTATAATACATAATAAGAATTGTTTTATTTTAATCTTCCACATCTGAGAAAAAAAATCTTTCGAAAAGCCAAAATTTAAAACTTACATGAAGCACATCACCAACAGCATACACATTTGGAATATTCGTTTGTTCATCAATTGCATCTATTTTTGCAGTTTCAGGAACAAGTTGAAGGCCAATATTTTCTGGTTTTAATTCTTCTGTAAGCGGTTTGCGACCAATAGCGAAGAGAACAGTATCGAAAATATCTTGATGCGTTTGTCTTTCCTAAAATAAAGAATTCATCGCTATGGAAATATAATTTGAAATTTATTAATTATACATCATATTTGATAAAATGAAACGTACTTTATCTACCCAATGTACAAGAAGTCGACCATCGGCTTGCTTTTCAATTTTCGATGGCTTAGCTTGATAAATAAAATGTACACCACGTCTCTCCATTTCTTGAGCAACGGTATTGGCCATTTGCTGATCAAATCCTCGTAATACAATCGAACGTACCATTACAGTTGCATCATAACCTAAACTATTCAAGAAACCGGCACACTCCAAACCGATATCTGTTTATTCATTAAGGAAAATTAAACATTGTAATAAAATTGTTTTAAAATTGATTAACAGGAAAAAAATTTCTAATTATTAAAAAAAGGATACATCCTGCACCAATAACGAGCGTTTTCCCTGGAGCTTTCTCCAGACTAAAGATATCATCACTGCTTATACCATATTCTAAAGCACCAGGAATATCAGGATATCTCGGCCTACCACCTACAGCAATCAAGATATTCTTTGCTGTGAATACTTTTTCTTCTCCATTTTTCAACTTCCCACATATCGTATGTTGATCTTTAAAATAACCAAGTGCATTGAAGTATTCGATTTTCCTGCAATAATAAAAAGAATAAGTAAATTAGTAAAAGTGAATTTTATACTTAAGAAGTATAAAAATAAACTAAGAAATAAAAATCGATGTTTACTTTGTCCTAAGCTCCACTCGAGTAACCCAATTTACAGATTTTATATGATTTTGTACTGCTGTTGTTAATGCTTGCCAGTCATTCTTAATAGTATTCGGATCTGGTACCTGCCAACCATAAGCTGCTGATTCCTAAAAACAAAAAATTTTAATATTCAATGTTTTTTTAAACAATAAATACAGTCTATTAATAAAGAAACACACATGGATTGCTTCTCCTAGCAAAGCAGCTTGATGCATTAACTTCTTTGGTATACAACCAACATTTACACAAGTGCCACCTAAGCCCCAAGTGGTACCTCTTGGAGATGGCGTAACAAAATCAAGAACTGCAACTTTTGCGCCTAAGTTCACTGCTTCTTTAGCTGCTGCTAAACCTCCTGATCCACCGCCAATAACAAGTAGATCGTACATGAATTTTTGATCAGCTGCAAACCAATAATAAATTCTCAATAAAATGAACAAAACTTGTTGAATTTCCAATATTGATTGTTGCAAAATATCTATATATTTAAGCATGTTTCAGGAATTTAAATATATCTAAATTTTCCAGTTATATAAAAACTGATCATAAGAATAAAGTTATGCATCACTTGTATCATTACTAAACTGAAACTATCTAACTTGTGTTAATAAGGCAATATCCGCAAATAAAACTACCGATTAAATTACATACACGTTAATAAAACTGACAAACAAATTATTGAATTATATGAATTGGTCCAACTATTTTTAACCTAACCAGTCTGATAACCGGTTGTCAACGGTATACGAATACATAGATTTTACGTAATGTCAACAAAATCAAGGCGTGTTCGCAATTAGAAATCATGGAATCCTGACACTCACAGCACATGCAAGCCATTGTTGTTCTTCCATAAGGGAAAGTATTACATCTAGGCCATGAGAACTCGAGCAATTTTGCGTGAGCGGAGCGGAATGTAACAATCCTCGCGAGTAGCGTTAACGTCGCCATGATTATCGCCAGCCGGTCACGGCCACGTGACGTCACCCTGATGACACTCGTGTTTCACAATATATAATAAAATTTTTTTCACGAGACACGAGCGTGTTCGAACAACCGGCCACAAAGAAAAAAAAAAAATACCCCGAAAGGAGATCACGACACGAAATGAAGTCTATATTAATCACTGGTTGCAATCGTGGACTTGGTCTGGGTTTAGTGAAACACCTGGTAAAATCGTCAAAACCACCGGAGAATATCTTCGCAACTTGCCGAGACGCGAGTAAAGCAAGGGTAAGATTGGTCACGAAGTGAAGAAAAAATACAAAATTATGCAATAACCGATTTGAGCTATAAACTCTACTTACCAATAGGTGCCATCGTCGCGCTTTACCGGTTTGAAATTCACGTTACAGAGGAATGTAAAATGTAATGGTTTTTCTTTTTGGAGAACGTTAGTTCTCCGTTAGCTATCGCGTTTAGCCGAACAACTTCTTACGTCCTTACGTCTAAAACACAAGAACGAACTGACGCCTATTTGGTTCGTTTACCGCCATCTGTTATATGGTTGCTACAGGCGCACGAGTTTTAAGTCTGATTTATAGTGACTCATGCGTTAAGAAATTACGCAAAAAATATGAAACATGCAAGTCACTCTTGGTTTCGTTATGAAACGAACCTTAGAAACCGGTTTTTCGAAAACAGATATCTCACTCGAAATTTCAAGAAATCCAAACGATCGTCAATGAAAATTTTCAGAAGCTTTTATGAAATTTTATAATTCCATAATGCGAGACATTTTTGTAAATCCTTCGTACAAGAATTAATCCTGCTGCAATAATTACTAAGATTCAAGAACGTTGATTTGTTAAAAAGATAACAGTTGTTATACCTTAAGAGATTTTTGCCCTGTAGCAATTTTATTTTAAGTATATTTTTAAGTTATGTTTTCTTTTAGGAATTGACTATATTGGCTGAGAATTCGAAAAACGTTCATATCATCGAGATAGGTATGTAATCATTCTGCAATTTCAAATAGATTTTATTTTATCAGAAAATATAATCTAATCTGTGTTTCATTATTTTTTCATAATTTATGAAAGATAATTTTAGCAATTTCTGATAGACGATGTAGTAATACATATATTTTATACATTGTTTTCTTTCCTAATTGTTGTTCAATTGCTAATTAAAACAAAAAAAATTATTTCATCCAATTGGCTAATTTGATAATGGCACTTATTTTTCATAAAACGATATTTCACTTTTGAAATATAAAAATGTTGATTATTAAATGATTATTTAAAATTAGAAATGTTTTAAAAATGGAAAAGTCAATTGTCCGATTTTATCAACCTAATCCATTAAATGTGAAGGGTTATTGTATTTTAAAAACAATAAATCACTTTAAGTTAAGAATTGATTGAAATAAAAAATTTTATTTAAATGTAAATAAAATATTGAACATAATAAACTGTAAGAAATAATTAAAAATGTTTTCTTTTATAAAAGCTATAATTAAAATAAAGTATGTAAATACTTATGTATAACATTATGTATAGCATTATCATTTTTATTAGAAAGATATGTATGTTATCGATAAATTTACGCAAGTAATCTAACTTAGATCTTTCAATAGATACAATTGTATATCATCACTCATGATAATATTTTTGATATTATTGTAAAATAGTAGAAAAAGATAATATAATCAACGAAGTTTACATGTGTAGAAGTGCAAATATCTTAAATCATTGATATTCTTTACACAAAATATTGGAATTATCTATGAATTGCAACAAATTAAAAAAGGACTTACCTTCGATGTTCTTTTGTTCTGTCACCAACTTTTCCAAAGTGTAATTTTCTTGATCACTTAAATCTGAGTCCATGGTTTGCGGTTTCTTACAACAATTAAGATACCACAATTTTTTTTCTTTCGACTCACGAGACTTCATATCACAATGTTTAAAATAAAAAATTTCAAAAAATTTTCAAAAATGAAAATCTAGATATAATGTTTGGTAGCTTGTGTTTCCTATCGTTTCTAACGAAATATGAATTCCATGAAAGTACCGGTCGATATTTATACGTACATACATGCGATATCTGATAATAAGAATTATACAATTTTATTTGTAGCCAAAATACAAAATATTTTCTTAATTTATTTAATAAATAAATTTTATGAATAAAAAATATCAATTTGTAAAAAATCTTTATGAAAAGTATCATATACAAGATAAAAAGAAATAACATTTTACACTATTAAAACAATAGAAAAGTTTACTGACTTCCTTACATAAAAAATATAAAATTAATTTATATAGCAAAGTTGAAATTAAATAAAACTAGAAAATCCATGTTTCTTTAGGTAAAGAAATAAAAATCATGAACAAAGAAATACTAATATTTTAAATAACACACTAACATGAAATTTTTTATTAAATAAAGTATCCCATTTTATAAAATTATGTTTATTTTCTATAATTAAAATATAATTTTATATTTTAATTATAAATATCAGAAATTATGTAATAAATATGAGAAATGATGTTAATGATATTACAAATTGAAAAATTTCATGATAAGAAAATGATAAGATGAATGATGAAGAGATGACAAAAATATGACAGAATATGACTTACCAGTGTCCCTATTATATTTACTTAATACTAGTAAAATTAAACAAAATTGCAGATCTTACACAATTAACATGAATAACATAAGAGTAGAATACCTATAGACTAGTAAACTATTGACTATAGTTGCTATAGTATAAAAACTGAATAGCATATAAGCACTAGCATATATCAATAGTCATTTATAGAGTTCATATGTGTAAAGTTATATGATAAGATTTGATATACAGCATTTTGACTTCTGGAATTTTTAATATGGATCCTCATTTTGCTCCTTTTAATTTAAGATTTAGTCAATACAAAAGACTATAATAAAATAGTAAAAATTGTGGGTGAAAAAGTGGGCAATGCAGGATTAAATGTTTTGTTCAATAATGCCGGAGTTAGTCCAAAATTTACAAGACTTAATTTTGTAAAAAAGGAACAGCTTACAGAAACATTTTTTGTAAACAGTGTAGCACCAATTTTGTTAACAAAGGTAAATTGCAATTTTTAAACACATTTTTTTAAAGTTGCAGTTGAAATTATTAAAATCTAATTCTTAATTATTTTTCATGTATACATAAAAATATAAAATATACATATAAAAATATAAATAAATAAAAACAAAATAAAAATATAATAATATACATATATTGAATGCATGTTGTTATTATGAGTTGTAACTGATAAGTAATTATACATTTCTAGACAGTTTTACCATTATTAAGAATAGCATCTGATAATTTTGCAAACAAATCAGAAATGAGTGTTAATAGATCTGCAGTTATTAACATGTCCTCAGTTCTTGGGAGTATTACTGACAATAATCAAGGTGGATATTATCCTTATAGATGTAGCAAGGTAATATTTTTTTCACTTGGATCAATAAATAGTGTGTTATGCAAATAATTAATTACGTTAAAAAATATTAAATTTGAATAAAGTAAAAATAAGTAATGGAAAATTAAAAATTATTTTTTTCTATTCATTTACAAGAATATTGTATTTTTTTACTATATAAATAATAAAAATATGAGAATAATTATGTTTAGAAAAATCATCGAAGTTTTTATAATATTGTTTATGTTAGCGGCCGTCTATTCTTTTATTTCTCATTTATAGCTTCATATACATAGCTAAATATTGCAACAAAATTATTTCATTCCATCTAAATATTCTATCGTAAACGCCAATTTTATATTATATTGAATAATGCAATACTTATCCTATAATAGGTATACTTTTTATTAATATTTTATTTTTAGGCAGCACTTAATGCGGCTACAAAGTCAATGAGTATTGATTTAAAGGAGAATGGAATTCTTGTCACTTGTTTACATCCTGGTTGGGTTCGTACTGATATGGGAGGGAACAATGCACCCATGGATATTGATACTAGTGTTACTAATATCTTGACTACATTAAATTTATTAACTCAAGAACATACAGGTTGTTTTATTCAATATGATGGGAAAATTTTACCTTGGTAAATAAAAATTTTATACAGATTTTACAGTTAATCCTTAATCATTTACATTTGATACAATTTAAAAAATATATTTTTGATGGTTTTTTATTAATTTAGTTGTTCAGTTTTTATATCAGAGATAAAAAGTAATCATATAAATATTATTCTCCTTTTTTTAAGATTATGCATAATACAAACATAATTTATTATATAATATGTTTACAAAATATCATAAATTTAAAACTTTAAAACAACTGAATAGAACAATTTATAAACAACTTACATTACATAACAAAATCTCAAATATTATATTTAACATATAATGTTAATTGAAAGTATATTCAATTTATAATTTAATTTAATATAAAGATTTTAAGATTCGTAAATATAAAAAGCCGGTTTGGTTTCATTTGTTATGAGATATTTGTTATGATGTAGATCAAAGGTATTAAAAAAGACATTGAATTTTGTTTCATATTCAGATATTTTTCTGTACATAATCCATAACATACAGATATTAAAATAATAAACAAGAATTCATATATACAGTTATCATACAAAAACGATAATAATTGGCTATATAATGAAACATTTTTTTCTTTTTTGATTCCTTTTTTTAATGAATGTAGGTCATTTAAACATTATATATTTTAAGTACAATTATTCCTGAACAAATGAAAATGATTAAGTGATAATTCCATTAAAATATTTTTATACTTTCTTAAAAACTTATGTAAATGTAAAATCAAACATTCAGAGTTGTATTGTTTTATTTGTAAGTGTCAAAGCATATTTTGTACATTTCATGGTGCTATAACATAACTTCAGGGAATGCAAGTTTTCTAAAATATAAAATTGCAAGAAAAGAAGTATTTGAAATATGTACAATAATTAATTATCGAGCAACTATTGAATATATGATTATGCTTAGACACATAAATACCTTGAACATAAATGTAGTATTATACATGTAGTATTATACATGTATTTTGAAGATATTATTTTACAGCAAAAACAAATGTTCTATTATCTATTTTACATTAACAAGGCTATGTCAATTTTTGTTAATTAATTATTTAAAATGTTACATGAAAATAAATGAAAACCTGCTATGCATCTTATGAATTAAATAATACTGTGATGATACAAAAATCATCTAAAATACAAATATTTTTCAATACAAATAATTTTATAATTTCTTAAGTTTTCTTTAATTCATACCTTAAGACAATTGAACATGTAATGCAAATGTTTGAATGAAACATCATTAATATTAGTGTTTAAATTTACTGTATATTTTGTAAAAAATTCACATTATAAAAAAATGAATTACATTTAACTTAGATTAATTGATATGACAATCCTTTTTTTTTTTTGATGCATACAAATTTTCACTAAATATAGAGTAAAATAAAAAATGAAACTTCATTCAATTTGTAAACTTACAGTCATAATTTGAGATAATTTTATAATGTGTAGATTTGTATAAGAAATGATTTCCTAAATGTCTTATATCCCAAGTAACAGTCACAAAATACTTTAATCTAATTTTAATCAGTCTTTAACCTTTTAGGTGTTGGTTCGCTATTTTGTGAATTAGAATCTTCTGAAAATCCCAGATGTGCAGAAAAGTCAGTTAATCCTTGAGAATCACTAACTGTTGAAAAACCTGATACATATCGTAGAACTTTTATAAATTTCACCATTTAAAAAATAATAAATATTGTGTGAATTATTGAAATTTAACTCACATGTGTTTGAGTCCTCTGTAAGACCAAAATTAGAATTTGACGAATCTAACCCACTTTTTCTTGGCAAACCATTTTCCTTGTCTGCAACTGTCTTTCCTTTCTTTTTCTATGCAATAAAATATAAATTCTTATTTCTTATTTAGATGTTAGTAGTTTCTTATATAGATGTCCTATTTACCTGATCAAGTGTCGATATAGGTACCCATTTATAAATCTTCATAGTAGTTTCTCCTATTGTAACCCATTTTTTTTCCCTATAAAAGTGTCAGCATGAAAAGCACTGATGGTTCCTTAAATCAATATTCAAATAACAGACAGAGAAGCTACCTTCTTTACTGTTATTAAAAAAGCAGACATACAACACTATTACTCAATCAACACGCATGAAACATTTCAGAACTACAAAAGTCTGTTTACAGCTGACATGTGTAATGCAAAATCTCTATTAAATCTCGCAAGGAAGAAAAATTTTTATCCATTTTTGTGAGATCCATAAACTTTTACTACATTTTTTTTTACATTTTTTTTTTTTGTAAAACCTTTCAATATTTCCTCGTGCATCTATAAAATGTTAAGAGATTTACCAATGGCGAACTTTGTCAACAACTTGCATTACACGCTTAATATCATCCTTGGCACGACTACGAGTCTCTGCACGTACAGACCGCGACATCATGTTACGAGTTACGCGATTATATGTCACTATTAACTGAACAAGACACAAAGCACCAGAACATTCGTCGGTAAAGAGGTTAGAAAACTGACAGGCGGTTACAGAATTTCTGCAGCGAGATAGTAAACGCTTCAGTTGTGCTAAGAACGTGAAATACGATAATAACAAGACGATACGTCGGCGACAATAGGTAGACTTGAGAGGGATGGCGGAAGCCAGTGATACTCATCGGCAAACTGCAGTTTTTGTATACGTTTAAAAAACTGAAACTAGTATCTCATTCGTTTAATTACATTTGTATATAACATTTTACAATAAATCTTTTAATGTCGATAGTATCAAAAAATTGCTAGAAGTTAAGATATAATCTAGCAAGTTTATTTAACATGAGCATCACTGACGCAAGTAGATAAATAAATGCAAATGTAGCATATTTTTTATTCTACGGCGTTGTAAAAAATAAAAACAATTTAAATTATAAATTACACATTTAGCAGTAAAATATTGATGTTAGAAAATATACGTATAAAAATTAATATAAGAGAAATATTACAGCTTTGATTATGTACATATCTAGAGTGTCCCAAGATGTTCCTACGCGTCAATATTCTATTTCAAGATGTTCATTATTTTTTTATCGACAAAATTTTAATTTTATGCAAATAATAGATTTTTTTAAACGAAATTTTATTAATTAAGAAAAAGAAACTTTGCTATTGTCTGCTAGATGCAATTTTCTTTAATTCACACAACGAAGTTGTTTTTAATTAATAAATTTGGAAAATGGTAAATTATAAATTCTTAGAAGTATACAAATTACAGTAATATTTTTCGTATCGTAATTATTTTATATGTAATATTGAAATATTAATAATTACATATGTCATGTACGTTGTGCAATATCTCATACCATTCAAGATGTTAATATCAGTTATAAAATATCTTATATCGTTAAATGAATAAGATGTCTAAAATCTAAGATAAAATTAGTTTTAATAAGCAAAAAAAATATCAATAAGTTGCAATTGTGTAAAATTCGCTCTGTTATTTAGTATATTATAATTTGTAATTATTTGCTATATTGAAGAAGGAAGAAGTTACATAACCAAAAAGATGCCCGAACCTAACAGTGCAGTTGAAAATGTACCTGAAGAAGAGATTAAAGACGAATGGCTGGTATAATTATATGTTTCTCTTTTATCTACTTATATTATAATTACATTGGAGAATTAGTAAACATAGATACAATTTCTTTGTATTCAATGATTCAATATTTTAGATCAGACCATGTGTAGTATATAAAGAGGAATATGCTGATTGTACAAGTATAAAAGCACGGTTCCATCAGTATTTTATACATGGAGAAATACTAGATTGTAAACAATGGAAAATTGATTATGAAAACTGCAATTTATGGACTGAACATAAAAATAAAAAAGCCTGCGTAAGAATTAATTGAAAAATATTTTATAAAAGTTGATTTATAATGAAAATCTTGATCTTTTAAGAAATACCATATTATTTTCAGTATGAATTAATAAATAGTGAAAAAACACGCAGAGTGAACAGATTAAAAGATCATTATAAAAACGATATTTGGGAAAGGAGAGATAAACCTCCAGAAAATTGGAATGCACCATTACCTAAATGGTTAGAAGAAAGAAATAGTAACTCATATTTAAAAATTGTAAATGAGAAATTAAAGGAAACAAAAAATGAAATAGCAAATAGGAATTTTTGTACCATAATGTAAGAACAATTTAATTTATTTAACATTGTAGATATTTGACCAAGAAATAAAGATTTTGAAATTAAATTTCAATTTTGTTTGAAAGTTTGAATATTTTTGCAATAAAAAATTTATTTGATCGTATTTTTTATATCTGTCAAAACACTGATAGATTTTTTATTATTATAAATTTGTTACAAATGTAGCCACATGTATGATAAAGAGATTTTATTAAAAAGTTAACAGAATAAAATTAATTTCCTGAAGGAAGAAAAAAAGAGATTGATAAAACATTTTATTTTTAATATAATTTTTGAATACGTTATCATACATTATTTTATATATTATATTAACATTATATTAACATTATATTATTTTATATATTATATTAACATTATTGTATTTCATAATATTATTTCATATATATTTTCCTAATGTTAATGATGCGTATTGTTTTTCATACAAATACTGTAATACTTTTCATATAAATTACATTGCAATAAAAATTATAGAAAAAAAGAATTCATACGAAATAAAAAGAAATGGTCGGAATGATATTGAAATTACAAATCGGAAGGAAGATAGTAATTAGACAAGACAGAGTAAGACAATAATTACATAGAATAAAGAGATACATGTTGCACTAGTATACGCGGGCGAAACGGCAAATGCAGAGATCCGTGTCGGGCATGCGCAGTAGGTGACTCGGTGAATTCCGTTACGAACTTTTTCTTCCGTTATGAGAGTCAATCCGCAAGTGGCCAGTGGCAAAAGAGGAAAGGCAAAAAAGCAACGCTGGACTGATTGTGAAAGAAGCGGGAGAGATAGTGTTTGAACGTCGCGGCAAATCCTCCCCACTTCTTCAATGAACGCACAATAGAGAAACGCGTTGTTCGATCGGGCTCGTAGTGTTATGTGCGTACGCGATGTTGAATGAGAGACGTAACCTAAATACAAATATCGCCTATCAACAAATATCGCCTAGTTTTGGAGCAGAGGACAGAAACGTCCAAATATACGCACATATTTTTGCTATCTTTTTACTGTTCTTCCTTTCGTATTTGTATCTTCATATGGATTAACTCGACTTCACCTGGTAAGAAATAGCTATCTAGGTATCGTGTTAACGTTTCGGTGAACGTAATCAACGTAGTACGTATTGTGGTCTTCGTGCCCTGACGAAAGTGCGAGTCGGTAATTTGAACCAAATAATTTTTAACCAAGAGGAAAAAGAATGGCGGAGGATTGCCCCGATGGTGATTATCTCGGCGCGTATAGCCGTTTTTTCTCCGAATTCGTCGCTAAAGTAAACCCATACGATCAGCTGCCTGTTTCGGTAAGCTCGTACAACGTGACCGAAGCTGAGATTGTCGGTGAAATCATCAACGTGACTCTACAGTATCTCAACCAAACGTAAGTGAATGTATTTTTTAAATGAATGATATTACAGCATGCCGTTGCGTGAACAGACATAAGACGTGTTTATTCGTTGATAGCTTCCATGGCGGCCGGCGTCGAGTGTAAACATAAACTATATACGTGCAGGGTACTCCAGTATCATCCATCATTTATTATAACTAGAAAAGGGCTGATTCTACATCCTTGAAAAAAGAAAATTTTTTTATTTAAAAGTTCGTTTCTAAGAGACATTGAATTTGAAAATTTGTCGAGAGTTTAAGCTCTATTTTCCCAAAGACGAAGATGAAATATTTCCGTACGAATATTTTTAACTTATATTCCTTCACGCCCCCTTTTCAGTTATATCATAATGATTGGGAACATCCTGTGCACTCGCTCGTCAAACTTTCTGAAATTTCATTACGTTACTAAAGTTTAAAACGAAACGGAGAATATACGTAAAAATTACAAATATACATTTATAATTTACCAATGTCATGCATAATGTACATGATATATTCATGAAAAATTTTAATATTAAGTATCGAAATATTTTCGCGACTCATCGTTTCCAAATGATGTTTTTAGAAAACTTACGTATTATATTTTCATGCGCGAACAATATATTTTAATAGCTTTAAATGCATACATATATAAAATATATAATACATAAATACGTGAATCTGTATATATAAAGTACAACTGAAAGTCTTTTACATATAAGATTTTAATTGTTTATTTGTAATTGGTAATATGAGTTTCGTTTATCCAGTCCAGTTTTTGTACAATACATTGTGCAATACGTGACATACAACAAAGATAGGCAGGGCGCATGCTGGAACGACGATAGGAAGGTTTACGATTGATCCGGCAAATTTTTCGCATCTCTAACTGTACGCATTTTCCATGCGAAAACTCGCTTTTTTTATACTAGTCTTTTACTGTTACAACAAACATGTATGAGATAATTTAAAATTTAATCGTACGTAATGGAAATGTAAAAGCATTTTATAGTTTAAATTGTAATTAAGATTTACGAAAGACGCTTAAAATAACGCTTTCCTACTTGGCCACTCGTTTCGTGAGTCATTACCTGAAAATAAAGAATACAATTTTAAAATCTGCTCTCATTTATATCTATATGCATATGCATAAAAACTAAGATTTTTCACGATTTATTTAATCATGTTTTATAGTTGAATACATTTGGAGATTAAATATTAAAACGTTATATTGCATGATATGAAATAACATTTAATTTAATGTGAATTATAATGAAAATCAGTTGTACAAAATTTCTATTTCTTTTAACTGTTTCGTGTTAAAAAAAACTTTAGGTTTTGAGTACGCTCGGTAGGATCGGTAAAAGCTTGCATAGAAATATATTTACGTATGTATTTAAGTGCATAGATGAAACGTACCAAGACTACACCATCCTCTGTAATTTCGTACTTCCGCACTACTTTGTTGTTATCTGGACCGACTGAAACTGTCACTAGATTATCTCCTTCCATTGTAGTTAGATTCTAAACAGACAGAAATACAAACGATAAAAAGTGAAAAATTTATACCTTTTTTAAAAGTTACATCTATACAAAACAAATCACTAATCCTTCACAAATTTATGTCGACAGTACTGCATTTTTTATGTTATTCGCACAAGTTGAGAATACAGCATTAGAAATATAGATGATAACGAATTTCAAATAACTTTTTAATCCATTTAAATACCATATTTATTTAAAAAAAATATATGTATGCGACTGATTTGTAACATGTAAATAATAGTAGTTGTTATTTTGATTTAATGAAAACGAAGATCGATCGATACGCGTACATGCTACACATCGATTACATTATGAAAGATATATTATGAAAAGAGCAATTATACTTTCAGTACAACTCCGGCGGGCATATGTTCTTCATATTCTTCGCCGAGAGTAAACGTCACTTCTGTCGTACGAATCATCGTAATGGTACGAATGGTCCATTTATCGCCGTCGTTTGATATTTCTAGTCGCGGATTGGACATGCACATCATTTTCCGTGGAATATATGGTACACCTATATATGTATGCATACAATTGAAAACAAAATCGATTTAACTCCGATTATTTACGTGTATTATGCATTATGCTTGACGCAAGCACTAATCACGTACTTTTATTAAGAAGTAATATTATTCGATACGCGACTCGATAGTGTGTTTATTTTTCAATAAATAATCGACTGAGATTAATTGCTTTAATCCTTTATTCGACAAACGAAGCATTCAGTAAACATATAGGAGAAACATATAATACAACATGCATTATTCATATAAGTAATTATAGGAATACATATACACATACTTGTGTTTATGTAAAAGAATGCGCCCGCGCATGCGACCATACAATATTAATCAAAATAAAAATTTTAATCCTTTAATTGATAGCACATTGGCAAATTGGTATATCACGAGTGTACAACAAATGAATTGATTCAATGTTTCGTTTACGTTTACGTTTACGTTTCCAAACTTCTCGAGAACAAGATTGGAGAATTTGTTTTATATGTCGTATTTGCTTTTACTTCCATCGTAAGGTAGATGACATTCATTTTTAGTCGCTTTTAACATACCCACAGCTTTGAAATACTCGTCGAGATTTTCATTGCTTTCATGTTGATAAGTGCCGACGAGCGATGTCATTTCTCTCCCCTGTCGGTAATGCTCCGGAGACGATGGATTTGTTAGTGGTCGGGGGTGCTTTCTCACAGGCTGTAGCGAGCTTTCGTCTTGAAACGTGTCGCTATGGACTAGTTGAAAAGATTTTGATTTTAATACGTTCGAGACAGCTGTCTCCTCACCCTCACTGTTTTCTATGATTTTGACAATATGCTCGTGTAAAGCGTAAGTCCCTTGTTCTTGAGGCAAATGCCGCTTAATAGTTACTTCTCCTCTCCACAGATTTCTCATATCTAAACGATACGCTACATGATGTGGCAGATATGAATAATCAGTTTTTCAAGCTCTAGTTATCTATCTATATATCTAAACTCTAAACAAGTAACCTATTCAAGGTCAATTTATTATTATTTCTTTTAATACAATAAATTGCTATCATCTTTGGATGAAATAAAATGGTGTATTACATAATACGTTTATACTATACGTTTATACTATACGTTATAATATGTTTATACTATACGTCTATATACTATACGTCTACCTAACATCGTTTTACAAACTTATATTTTAATAAGAGTAATAAGAACAGTAATGATAATTATAAAAATAACAGATATGTTATCTCTTAAAAGCGCAATGGTCTTGATATTTCATTTTTAAGACGATTAAAAGTGGGAAGGACAAAAAGTACGAAAAGTAGAGAGGACGATTATATATTATTTAGGAAACTTGGAATGTTAGCCAAGTTATTCGATACAGTCTTACTACTTTTTGATGGAATTGAGCTATTCAGTTATAATTTCTTTTTCTTCTTTAGATTTAGAATGGAAATGTAAAGGTCATAGAAATTAGTTACAAGTATTGTTAATGTTAAATGAATGATAAAACAACTTTCAATGACATGAAACAACTACTGTAAAGAAATATCAATTAAATCAAATATATTGTGAAACAATAATAAAATCTGAAATCATTGCAATATGTTAAACTATAACAATATTTCAACATTCTTGTTTCTTTATTTAAATATAACTAGTTGGATAAAAATTAATACATTACTCTATGATTTTACATACACATGTAAATATATAACCTCCAATTAGATAAAAATTGTTATTAAATGCACATTTTGTATACATGATATTTTAAATTACACAGTTAAACATACTGAAAATTTCTGTAATTAAATCAAATAATTAGTAATTAAGATCATTAAAATATAGAAAAAGTTAAAACATGTTAACAAATAAGAGGTTGTAAACGATTAATATAAAATTATTTTTAGAATAAATTATATAATAATTGTTATTCTTACGATTTAAAGAATTTCGGAACGAAAAATCCATGGTTACCATATGGTATATTTTCACTACAAAAAGTAATTTTTTTAAGTTTTATTAATCGAAAATTTCGTATATTTAGTATCGTCAGTTTACTAATTATTTGCTGCTTCAATTATTTTTTATGCTTTCTATGTTCAGGGATATTTATTCTTTAAGTAGATAATTTTTTTCAAGTATAAAATAATTAATTTTGTTATAAGTGCTTAAAAACTAATTATATATCTAAAGAGAGAATTTTATAACATTCTAGACAATGTCCGGCAAGTTTACAAGCACACTTGGTTCATCAAGTAATACAAGAGATCAAATCCATGTGCAAAAAACAACCAGAAGATTGTGGATTTAAATCACAAGAAAAAAGTATATCTTTTTATTTCTTATAACAATTAACGTACACATTTTTATTCTTCATAATAGGAATAGCTTTCAATAAGTCTTTATTACATTGTAGCATATACTTCATTAAAATTGATGCAAGCTATTACTGGTAAAGTCAATGAAATATGTACTCGCTACCTGGACAATAGTAGATTAGCGTTATTGCCACCTCCTCCTTCTATACCATTACCACAAATAGCAGCAGGAGGAAGTAAAAATTGCAGAAGAAAAATGGAAGACCGCTATGTGGTTTTACATGATTTACATAGTATATTTGGTATTGAGGTATATATTATATAAAGATTGAACTTTTCCTACTAGATATATAAATGGTAATTCTTTTATCAGAGAAACATTTCAAATTTTAGGATGATTCTGTAGCAAATTATTATGCAGTATTTGATGGACATGCAGGACAAGATGCAGCTGTATATTGTGCTTCTCATCTGCATCAATATTTAGCAGAAAGCATATATTATCCTACAGATCCAGAGCGTGCCTTACGCGATGCTTTTCTTACTACTGACAGACAGTTTATAGAGAAATCACAAACACAGGTAAGAAATAGAAATTTTTATATGTAATAATGTATTATTCAAACAAATATACAATCTATTAATTTTATTTTTATTATTTTTACTGTTTCAGAAACTATGCGGTGGAACTACTGCAGTTTGCACTTTAATATTAAATAAGAGATTATATGTTGCTTGGGTAGGAGATTCAACAGCAATGCTAGTAAAACGCGACAATGTTGTTCAGTTAGTGAATCCTCATCGGCTTCATCGTGAAGTAAGTCTAAATATTTTCATTATGTTTAACATCTGCTTCGAAGGACATGATCATATAATATTACATGTTCATATTCTTCACTGCGTATTCTTACTCGTGTTGTATATATGCCTGGAGAGGGTAATCCAGGATCAACATTAATGAAATGCCGATCGTGACAGTGTTTGAATCGAAGACCCAGTATTGGGTCTATAACTGGTTGAAAATTTGATGTTTCATTTAAACGTGTCTTTCCTGTTCTCCAGTGATAATATGCGAGGTCAGATACACAAGGCCATACTTTTTTTCTTCCTTGGAAATAGGGAAGCCAATTTTCTTTTTCAAGTCTTTCATTAAAATCTATGTAACCAGAAATTTCAAACTGCAGTTTAGTTAAATTTCTTATGAAGATAATAGTGGATATGATTTTCAATCTATTTAGACGTTCTCTGAGTGCTAATTCTTGCATTAAATTATCACTTGGTGTCACATGTTCTGACGTTAATTCATATGGTCTATAAATTGGAAAGAATAAATTTTTTACAGCTTTCAAACGACAATAAAATGTATCTTCATCTAGTGTTTCACCCGTACAACGATAACCAAGTTCAGCTAATCTGTGTGCAATATTAAGATTTCCTAAATATCCAAGATCAACAAATGTTATTAAAGAATCCAAATAGTCTTCATAAGTTTCAAATTGTAATAATCTTTTATCACTGTCTATTTGTGTTCCTACTTCTGTCATATTTAATTTATTCAATCTATGATTTTAACAATAAAAAACATTGACATTTATATTTTAGTATGATGTGACAGTAAATTTCAAGTTAGGTTTTATTTTCTTTGTTTAAAAAACAATTGACGTTTGAGAAGTACAATGTGTTTTGTAAAAAAAAGTTATGATTGAACGTGCAAACAATATTGATTTTTTTTACTAGGATGAAGTGCAAAGAATACGGAAAATGGGAGGAATAGTGATGCAGAGCATGGGTACTATGAGAGTTAATGGAGTGTTAGGCGTTTCACGAGCAATAGGTAAGTTACTCTTTTTTGGGAAAATATTATTCCAATAAATTAATAAATTTACACATTTATTTTTTTCTAATTTGTTTGAAAAAAAATTTACTACTAACAAGAAATTAAATGAAACAAAGTTGAAAACACGGCAAAATTTCATTATAACATAATATACGTATCTTTTCAAATTAAGAAAAAAATTAAAAAATAATACTTAGGTATATTTTGCATCTTTGCGTTTAATGAGAAATAAAAATTATTTCTACTTAGGCCAACTTTTTGCATTTACTTATTAATAATGTTCGGATACTATAAGTATTTCATATGATAGTTTTTAGCAGAAATTGCAGAACAAAGAGATTACGCAGCATTTATAAGGCGTGGGTGTATGTTGATTATAACTGACACTTATGTTTCAAATTAAATATTATTCTTAATATACTCACGTTTGTTGATACGTATTTATAAACTAGGACACGTTAATACTAACTGCACGATAAATTTTATTTGCATTCAAACATATTGCGTTCTTTCGACGAACATTGTAATCAGCTTCACTGTTGTTATGAAAACTATATACATAAATGTCGCTAGATGGCGATACGAGTACTCTCTTACAATCGATCGATTGGTCGAAATGCACGCGTTTCAAAAAATGCATAAAAATACACAATTTGGTAAGAAATTTATTTTTTCGCTATAAGTATAACTTTTTGTTTTTCTTGAAATAGAATATAAAATAAAAAGCGACGTTAATTGTACTCGTAGAAGATTTAACTTAAACATCAGGTATTTTATTGTAATTGGACTACCGAGAATTATTATCATTTTATTTTAACTCATATTTCTTCCATTTCCAATGATTTTAAAAATATAACTTGTATCGATGGTATATGACATCTTATATAATTATTGTTGATTGATATAAGTGCAAATTGAAACACAAATATAAGTGGTACGAAAATTACAAAAAAAAAAAAAAAAACGAAAGAGGAGAAAGATAGTAAGTAGTGTAAATAGTTATTGCTGTTCATCGGCTTAAGTATATATACTAATCATAAAAATATCAACTTACATGAATGTCCGTAGTTTAGTTGCAAGCATTCGCTTGTTACAGCGACCCATTGTAAAATTCTTATGATATTTCTGATGGGATAAAAGACCGTTTTGCGAGAAAGTCAAGTGGAGAGACTCAGCGTGTACTGACAGCTGGCCAACTATGGCGAAGAAAAGAGAAAAAAATTCTAGACGCGTGTCGGGTATCCTGTTGGTTCCGTTCGACTGCTGACACAATAGTACGTGCAATCATGCTTCGAGCAATGGACTCTTTACTGGGTGGCTTCTACAATCGCCTGCCCGGAATAATTAAAAGCTCATTAAACTGTTTATGCTTCGCGAAGAGACGCGTGCCTCGAACGTTCGTCGTTTGCAAGAATTTCTGTTCGACGTTGTAAAATTTTAACAGCTGATACTTGCCAAAGTATTGTATTTTGTAACTGTCACGATGCTTTTTATTGATTGCAAGTAGAGATTGTTAGAGTTTCTTTGAAATATTTAATAAAACTTCCAGTCATTAGTTATCTTATTAGGTGAAAAGAATACAATGTAACTACAATGAAAACGTGAAACGTAGATAAAAATTTGTTATGCGATTAGAAAAGATTATAGAAATGCGTTTGGAGAAAATCTATCAATTAGAATTATCAGAGAAAATCTAATATTTCAATAGACACAAGAATATTTTTTTACGTGGTATACCGAAAATGTTGAATCTTTCTTTGAATAGACTATTATTATATTAATAGAATATTCGCAAATGAGAAATTACGCGTTCGCTAATTATCATCAAACATAATCTATTTCTCAAGTGATATATCGTTCTAAGAACTTTCAAATTGCAATTAGATATGTATATACTTAGTTGAAGTACAATGGTACGAGAAGTCTAATCAAGCTTAATCAGCGATTATTAATGAAACGTGACGTCCAGATCCGATTTTTTTAAAGAAATTTTTCAATTATGGTCGAACAAAGCGCGTGAAAGGATAAAGTGGTAAGAAGAGAGAGACTTTCATGCCTCGTAACCAGCAGTTTTATGAAATTCAATGTATCTATTATTCGTTACATATGAGCAATGCTTTTTACATCAAAAATAATCATTAATATGTACATATACGTATACACTACTTTACTTTATTTACTTTAATTATCTATTGTAATGAATGACGTGGCTAAACTTTAAATAATGGTACCATCATAGTACAGTCACTTCCGGTTATTAGGTATTGTAATATTTACCTAAACAAGGCTTTTCCAGCGGTTTGTTCACATCTATGAATGAAACTCTTTACGTTCAACGATTAAACGACCATAGATATTTTAGAATTTATTTTAAATAGACACATACATAAATATGTATCTTTGATAAGTTATTAATCGATGTTTTATTGCCATTCTTAATACACATCGTGAAATTGAGAAAATTTATAAGGATTTATTTAAAAATCGATAATTAATTTTTTACGAGTTTTATATAATAATTCAATAATTGTCTTCGCGTGATTTCAGGTGATGTCCGATACAAACCATGCGTAACAGGTGAACCTGAAATTAAATCTGTACCTTTGGACGGAACGGAGGACTTCCTGATTCTTGCCACCGATGGATTAACTGATTATTTGGAACCGGCTGAGATATTGACCGTTCTCTACCATGAAATACAACGAAATCCGAGTAAGTACACAGTACTTTGCATTCGATTCGATAGTAGATATATATACGTATTATTAACGATAATAACTTACGAAGACACTTGAATAATCAGTATTCTATTTTATAAATTTTTATAATATACATATAACAAGTATAAAAATGTGAATTAAAATTCGCACTAAAAAGGAACCACTAATGAAATGAATAATAAAAAGGTATATAATCCTTTTAGCCACAGATAAATAATCGCGTCTGTAAAATTATTTACTGTTGGAAAGTTAATTAATTAGAGTCAGGACATTAATTTATAGCGTATTTATCGTGAATGACTATTATATTGCGAAGAATTAATTCCATTTATTTCTGGGAGTGACAAAACGGTGACCTTCATTCTCTTGATTTTTTAAGTATATCATATAACTCATTTAATGTTTGCAACACAGTTACAAGTGTTTTCTTGGTTCTTTATAATTAATCTATACAGCACAGTATTTATCAGAACAGTTTCCAGCATACTCTGCCAGATTTAGTAAGAAAAATAGAACAGTAGGTTTTATTATCTTTTATACATTTTAGTGTCTATTACTAGACAGAACTGTCAGTTACTAGTGTGCATTTCTCCATTTCTAAATTAATATCGTAGCGGCTTATGAACGTTAATCCAACAAGCGAGACATTGTAAATTATTCAAAAATTTTCGAAACGTTTTATTCTTTCCTCGCGCGTTCGATTCGTTAGCTCTCTTTGGAGAAAATTATTCATTTTTGAATTCGAACAGCGTGCTTAGTTATGTTCCATTAACTTTGTTGATCCGTTGCCGTGACACGGAGAAAATTTCCATATCACGAATGAAACAATCGAAGCGAGTAATTATAGAGCCGTGGAACAGATCCATGCAAAATTATCGGGGCACGTTGAATCGGGGTTGCTAATTCGATTAGATTTGACCAGTGATCATCGGTAGGCACCGATATATATAAGGAGAATAATGCGATTCAAACGACAGCAGTGCAGATCATGGCCCGTAGATTTTATTTCTTTTATAATTATTATCCATTTACTTTATTTATTAGACAATAACATAATATTTCTTACTAATTCAAATGTAAGATGATAGATCGTTAGATAGAATAATAAGTTGTATTTTGGAATGTAGTTGCCGAGGCTTGTTCTTATTTGTTATTCTAAAAAGTATAAATCCTTTTTGAAGTTTTCAAGTAGGTATCCAAGTCGGATAAAATTATTTAAACGAAGGATATAAAATTTCAATTTCCAAATGATCTTTCGTCGTAGAATTAAGTTTTCTAAGAAATTGTAGCTAATTTTATCAATTGTACTGTGTTTTAATTGCTATCTTCCTTTGAAATGATATTGTGGTGTACGAACAGACAGCAAGTCAATATAGAATAGCGTTTGCGAGGATAGTTCGTCGATTCGTCGGTCGATATTTGTTGAACAATAGGCAAACGATTAGCATCTGATTCTCGTTCGAGAAAGTAAGGTGAAAATCATCTCGTGAAAAGTATTTCGTACTGGAAAAGACGAAATCTTGCAACTCAGGCTGGTACTCTTTGTAAGCGGTTGCCAACAAACTGTACCCGTTGTTTCTTCATGGCACTGTCATGCTCTGCTTCTTATCTACTCCACGGACGGAGATCGGAATAAATTGCTTGGCACTTGTTTCACGAACATTTCTTTCCTCGCCCAGACGGAAAAAATTTCTCCGCTTTTATTTTTCATGGACACTTTCTGGACAAACTAAAAGTTGCTCGTTCTCTTATCATTTTCTTAATTAAAATATCAATCGTTTTACCGTATATCGTGCCGCATTATCCTATTTAACCTCTTGCGCTGGAATGACGTGTCACGCACGTCGAGAATTTTTTGTTTTAAAATTGCAATATTTCCTCAGTTTTAAATATATTTAACTGTAACCCAGACAAAATAAATGATAAGTTTATTACTTTCTTTCTAATCATTTCTATCCAATGTTATCGTATCGACGAGTTCAGAAAGAAAACGACGAATTATTGTGTACGATTTGGTCACTCGTTATGGTCCGCAATTTATGTCCAGCGCAAGTAGTTAAGAATACCTACAAGTAATGTCGTTTTCTGACACCGTAGAAAATTTTATTTCATTTAAAAGTGAATACAACGTTAATCTGTAATATAATTTAACAGTAATCACACTAAATGTCAATGTATTTAACTAGAATATATTTAGCTAGGACGAATTATCGCATACGGTTTGGTCACTCGTTATGGTCCGTAATTTATGTCCAGCGCAAGTAGTTAAGAATACCTACAAGTAATGTCGTTTTCTGACACTGTAGAAAATTTTATTTCATTTAAAAGTCAATACAGCGTTAATCTGTAATATAATTTAACAGTAATCACACTAAATGTCAATGTATTTAACTAGAATATATTTAACTAGGACGAATTATCGCATACGGTTTGGTCACTCGTTATGGTCCGCAATTTATGTCCAGCGCAAGTAGTTAAGAATACCTACAAGTAATATCGTTTTCTGACACTGTAGAAAATTTTATTTCATTTATATTACAGATTAAAGCTTTCAATACAGCTTTAATCTGTAATATAATTTAACAGTAATCACACTAAATGTCAATGTATTTAACTAGGACGAATTATTGTGTACAGTTTGGTCCGCACTCGTTATGGTCCGCAATCAGTTGCCAACGCAAATGCTTAAGAAAATAAAATCACTACAGAGCGTTATAAAGTTGCTAATAAAACATCAGTGCAAGTTCTAACAGGATGATCTAATAACTTTGTTATTCATTCCGTTTAATCCACGGATCGATACGGAGTAATTCTCTTCCGATTTGAAAGCATCGGGCAGATATAGTTCAGGGCTAGATAGTTCAGTCGGCGTCGAAACGAGAAATAAAGTGCAGAGTCGTCCGTTGAACTTGTTAACGAAGAGACGAAAGGAGATGGGAGTGGGCGAATCGATTTGGGGAATCTCATTGGCAAAGTTTGCCCAATTCCACGACGGTGCTGCAATTGGGCCAGTTGCTCGCGGCAAATTGCTCGCATTCCCATTGTCGGGATTCTGTTCGGGAGGGTCAGGCTCTGCAGCACAATAGCGATTCCTAGGCCTAATTGCAAGAGCGTGTTGCGGGCACGTGGCGTATGAACACATCGCTGCTCGTCGCTTCCTTCCTCGGAGCTTACCTACTCGTAGTGTTAGTGTTCCACTAACTGAAGGGATTAACTGTATCGCGACTGGTGTTTCAATTTATTTATATTCTCTTCTAAATCGGAATTTTCCGTCTAGAAAAATTGTCCATTACGCCGCGTGAAATCGGACATCTTGATTTCGCCTTGATTCTACAGGGTGGGCCAAAAATCACTTCCTACTAAAACAAATCCGTAATTGTTTTATTTATTTTTTTATTTCAACATTTCAACTTAAATTCAATTTTAGTTTTTTTTCTCATCTTTTGATGTTTTACTAAAAAGGATACAACCCCAAGGAACTTTGAACCCATTCATTCATTAGAAATCGGTGGCTTTCTTTTTTTTTTTTGGAATTCTCCTCAAAATCACCGACTGCGAATTTCTTGATAGATAACGTTTTGACATTTGTCTGCGACAACATTTTATATTGAATATTTATTAATTAATCGTTATTATATTAATGTTAACATAATATATAATATTAATATATATTATATATATGTTTAATATATAATATTAATTATAAATCACGTGATTAGGCATATAAAGTTAGACGGAACACAAATAACCTTTCGACTGGTTGCAATTAATTATCTACGCTCGAGCCTGACGCCTCGATCACGAAGGAGAATTTTTGATCAGACATGGAACACTTACTTCTGGCTATTTCGTATTTTCTAAGATCCATTAGACGGATAAAATCGTGACGCGTTGCATCGCCACCGCGTGCACGTTAAATCAATTAGATAATGAAAGCGTAGTCTTTGGCGCGTGCGTGAAAGTTTCTGTCATTAAAAACAGTCTTCAGATCGATCGTTTCGCGCTCGAGGGATATTTAGATTTATTTAGATTTACAGGGAAACAAGAGTTCAAACACAGGCTCTTGCCATGGACTTTTTTTTTCTTTTTTTAAGATAAATGAAATTTTATTGTTAGTGCAGTGATAAATCGCGAATGTGAATGAAAAGTCAAGTCGCAAGGAGATAAAATTAAGTCGAAATAGCTTGGGCTATTTGTTCGAGTAAGTTGCGATGAAAAAACGCGGGAAACGTACGCGAGTCGGATTTATGATTATTTTGTCGATGGGGGAAAAAAGTAACGTCGGTGCAATCGATGCAAGGTACGCGAGCCGCATTGCAGCATCCCTGGACGAGGCACGGCGTATGATTGAGAAACGAAATAAAATTGAAAGCCGGCTTGCACGGCCAGGAGAGAAAAAGATGGAAATGTCTGAACCAACATGGCCGCCGAGTACATCCTAGCAGGAAGAGAGTACATAGGCTGGCACATAAACCTCTCTCTCTCTCTCTCTCTCTCTCTCTCTCTCAGGGTAGATACTCTGTATACAAAGAGAAAAATTGTCAGATTTCCAAGTGTTCTCTCTATTGTCGAAAGAGAATTCACCTGGTGTATTTAATTCCATAATCTAATATAACGTACTAAGCAACTTTGATATATATTCTACGTAGAACGTACGTACATGCGTATAAATTTTTTCTGTCTGTGTTAAGAAGAAACGAAGAATTAAAAATCATCATTATACAAAAATAATTATCAAAGTGTTATATAAAAATAATTAGAAAAGTTACAAAACTTGCGAAAAAAGAAAAAAATACTATGAAAATGCTATGAAATGAGCACTTGGACTTTGTTAAACTTGGTATGAGTAAAAATAATCCATTTATCACGTTGTATCGTTTAATTTTAATTATTATTACGAAAGAAGAGAAAGAAAAGAAAAAATTATCACACTAGGGATTATTTTCGACTTGCTTTTAATCTGTGCAAGATTCGGTGAAAAAGAGAGGGAAAAAAGTGGAAGAGAGAAAGAGAGAGAGGAGGGAGAGACACAGAGAGATGGCGGGGCAAGAAAGTAGCGTAGTTAAAAAAATTTA